CCTCAACACAGTAAACCAAACGTATGCCAGATACATCACAGTACACACTGCACGTGACGAATATAAACATACAAAACCCACATATTCCACGGACGAGGTGTAGCATGCATGAAATCACACACGAAACACACATGCCCCCAAAACAAAGATCCCCCGTACATTTCGCATGAACAGACTGTTGGGGCAAGTGCTGTTAGCGAGCACCTACGAAGGCCGGCACTGCGGCGCACGAGGGGTGGGTGGCCAGCACCACGCCCGGCCTCTTTTGTCTCCCCAGTGGCGATGTTTACTACACACCGCACAGAAATACCACAGAGCACATCGAACAAAGATGGCCTCTGCATCGCACGCTTTCAGATTCACACTTCTGCGGCCGTCTGGAACGCTCTTCCTTCCGATATTAGGAAGCCACTGAAGCCATGCACTTTTAAATCATCCACATTTATTGAGAACTACTTCTTTGTGTTTAGTTTGTTGTCCTTCCCCCACACCTCCAACGAGCGCGGTTGGCTACGTACGATGCGAACTAAGTTCAACACACACGCACACATACGTTCTTGAACATTAACGCAGGTATTTAACCCGTGCATTATTCTCATTGGATATTGTTACCTATGATGAGATACGCATACCAGCCCAAATAACATCGTTGTAAACAATAGCAGTTCTGTCTAAAGCACGGTTGGCTACGCACGGTGCTAAAGCACAACACACATACACATGTATTGTATACATGGTGCACTTCTTTCGCACCGTACATAGCCAACCATGCTCTAAACCTAGCACCATTTCTGCCCACGCTCAACACTCACAATTGCGCATTTGCAAAAAACAAAACCAATACTCGTATTCAAAATGTTTGATACCGGTATCCCACAAGAGTATATAAAATATTCAAATTGTTTGCAATACCAGGATTGCTTTTTTGCGAAAGTGCGCTGGCTAAGGTCACAGGATCCTCCTTGGGGGCATCGCAGAAGCTCCGATGGTGAACGGTGATGAGGTGCGCGAGTGAACGGGCAACTCGCTCACTCGCCGGAGATTCGACCAAGTCCGGGACGACTCAATTGGTGGCCAAAGCTCAAACTCTCTGCATTCTCCTCGTGTGATTATCAAAGTATTATGTATATATGACAATATGAACAGTTAAAAGACGGTCATCAGCATTTTAAAACATTTGAGCAACCCACGCTGTCATTGCGGACGTAATTGTCCATCCCAACCAGCCAGCCAAACTTAGAATCTTAAATATAACCCTGTCTCTCTCTACCTTCCTTTTGCCTTTGTACTGGATATCCCATGTTATCTTAATTTCTCACTTAGTCTCTGTTTCCATCCGTTTCTCTATCACTCTCTCCCCTCTTCTACCTCGTCCTCCCTCTACAGCCCTCTCCTCAAACAGCCGCTGTTAGTGGCGGCGACGTCAACACAGCGCCTGTGCCAGGTTAGGTGTCCTTCGAGGCCACGTGAAGTGTCAAAGTCTCGCTGACAGAAGGTTATTAAGTCACGGGACAGACCCAGGTGCTTTAGGGTTGACAAGACTGAGATGACCGATAGATGTACAATGTGCTTCCCCTACTGTGCGAACTTGCTGTGTTTTTAGTCAATTGGTGTCCCACTGGTTGCTGTGCTCCTCTGCCCTTTGTTTCTGTTAGAAGGTGGACTGCCTTAATCTTCCCAGGGGCGTCTTTCATGAGCCCTCTTCCACAGAGGCTGATCTTGACATGGCTGTTATCAGTCATTGGCGAGTCAACTCAGCTCCGCATCCTCCTCTACCACACATCAGTCCATCTCTTCTCCAGAATGTGCCGCACCCGATATCAGGCCAAACAGAAACTGCTTGGACATGCGGTGGCTGAGCATGCGGGGCGACATAATCCAGCCACCGCAGCCCCGACTGCCGGAAGAAGTCACTGATGGGACTGTGTCCAGATCTTTCAATGATTTGTGAGCTCCTCACTCAAACCAACCTGGTTAAACCGAGGATGGATCGTAGGCAGACCAGCCTGAATGTTTTAAAACGGCATAGATGCTGGCAAAACGCCCACGTCTTCCTGGGTGGTTTCCAGTCGGTAATAGCGGTGTGCTGATAATGCCATGGCGGGGGGTGGGGGGACTGATGTCAGCTGCTGTTCTCTTCATGGCATGCTCACAGCCCCCAGTGGCGAACGTAGGCTCTGCACGGATGCAGAGGGGGCTGGTAACCACTCCACTTTCAGTAAAGTTACCAAAACACTAAATTATCCGCCTTCCACTCTATCTCAACCCACTTCTCCTATCCCATTTCTCTCTCTCACCTCTTCACCCTCGTTCTCCTTATCCCCACTTCTCCGTTTGTTGTTGTTTCAAGCCCTCTTGCCTCTGCCTCATTCTCCCTTCCACTGCTGGTCACTTTCCCTGGCTCTCCTCGTTTGTTTTGCTTTATTTGATCTTCCATTTTAATATCCTTTTATTCTCTCCCCGCCCGCTCTTCTCCGTTTAGCGTCGTCTCTTACTCCCTGGGAACCCATCTTAGTGACCACCGGATATTTGGAATTCGCCATATAAAACTGCTTAAAATTCGATGTAAGATTATATTTAAACGCTCTTTGAAAGAATTTGACCATAAGGCCTTCATCCACAACATTTCCAATTCTGACCGACCTTACGTCAGTAAAATTCCAATATTAGACAAAGCTTGGTCTTGACTGCGAAAGACCGTGCTTTTATATAGTTGGTGAACATGCCTCTATAAAACATTTAGAATCCGAGGAAATCAAGCTCCCTGGTAGAACTCAGATATTTCCCATTGCATCCACTCCAGATACTAGGTTTGGAAACTGGCTAAGCAAACAGGTTTGGACTCAAACTGGGCCAACTGTAGAGTCCTCAGAAATTGCTGCACCAAATGAGGTCGGCACACTAAATACCGTCAAGTTCAAGATTTCCTCCCTCCTGGATTCAAAAGATAATCACAAACTTTTTTGAAAAGTCAGAGACCATTGAGGGTAAAATGTCTGAATATGGAGTACCGCCAAGGCTTTTGCTCAATGGAAGTTGCCTTTTTGATCAAAATGCAATTATAAATGGATTTAATTCACACTTTACATCTGCAGGCCGCATCTGCAACACCGACATCCAGCCCTGTGACATTACTATTCACCCGCCTCTTGACCTACCCTCCTCACTATCCCCTAATCAGAAATGTAATTTCCTTCCCATCTCGGAATTTCTAACCCTTGCTCTTCAAGCTATGGTGTTAATGGCCTGTTCACCTTTGCCTTCCATCTTGTGGGGATCTCCATGAGAAAACCGATAGCTTATGTATTCAACCTTTCCATTCGAGAGCTATCCACCCTTCATCCGATTAGCATGGCTGGCTACGCACGGCGCGAACAAAGTTCAACATACATACTTCCTGAATGGAAAACGCTCTCGTGCGCCCTCGTGATGAAAGTGGCAATTATAGATGACCCTAACAATTGCCGCGTGGCAGGTAAACAAGACTTCAAATTACCCCCCACCCACCCACAACGCCGTCCTGTTTTGCATGCCACCAACACTGTTTTCCTGATAGGTTTTAGAAAAACCTAGGGACACCCTTCCCACTGAGGGAAAAAAAAAAGTTTTGCAATAATTGTAACCGTGTTTTACTGATTGATAAAAGCGGGGCTCACATGCGCGACTGCTTTCCCCTGCCCGTGAGATCGCGGGCCTGGTGGGGGGAGAAATGAGCCTCCCCCCCGACGCAAAGGCCAAATTGAACGGCCGTTGGAAATGTGGAGTTTCCAACACTGAATCAGGAGGGTCAACGGAGAACAGCCCCCCCCCTCCCCCACGTGAGCATGGAGACACTGGCAGCAAAAAAATATCCAACCTCATGCATTAATCATTTTTTTACATTTCAAATAAAATGAAACAAAAATTTACTTTTCCATCAGGGCTAAACCTTTATTAGTATTTCCATTACTGCAGAAAATGTTTCAACACGCTAAATTCAGACATATGACTGGAGTACATATGCACGTATAACATACACAATAACTGTGGCAATGTCTGCAAAGTGCATTTTTGTAAGCAACCAGACTTGGAAACATAAGCAAAAAAACGCATTTTGAAAATAACCAATGAAAAATAAACTTCGTTAATCGATGTGTAAACTTCCAAATAATTGTGTTACTTGGTCATAAAGGAGAGTCATTCAGATGAACAGAGACCGAAGAAGCTTAAAATCCCTGTCTCATATCGCGATATTTGTAGACCCAGTGAAATACTGTATTTAAAAATCAACTTTAAAAAAAAAAACTTTTTTTTATTTCTACAGTACATATTTTAATTAGTGGTCCTGTCCCATTTACGAATATTACTTTTTCTTTTAAATGTTTTCGGTTTCAAAATTGTGCACTTTAAAAAAATCCATGCTTAATCCTTTAGCTCGTACAACCTTTTGTTGGGACCATTTCCGAGGGGGGTGGGGCAAGCGCTCGAGTGATGTCATCTCCACGACACATTGTCAAAGTTCGCTGTAGAATTTACCCAAGGGACTTTCTATAATTGTGGTTACGTAACAATAGGCGTAGCTGTCATAAACACGTATTGGCCAAGCATCATTAATGGCCGACTCTCAGCAACTTTTAGTTGCAGGAAAAAAAATAGGATCAATGTATTATTGTAAATGCTTCGCCTCACACGAATGAACAGGTGTACACTCTCATCGATACATTATCCACACATGCTTATAATGGTGAGATAATCTGCCCGTTTCACAACCTTCTTAAACAATGCAACTTTCATGCTGAATACGTGAAAGAGTAAACAACTTACACAAAAAGCTAAGAGAACAAGAGGCCACTTTGTTAAGATCGATACCTTGTGAACGAAATGGTCCATGGGCCAGAGCAGAAACCTGGCACTACCTAAGGTAGCAACACTTGAGCCGTGTCGATGTATTTAAATGTAAGCAAATACGAGTGAATTACTTGTTAACCTCACTCATTTAAAATGTGTTATCACAGACTTCACAGTCGTCCACAAAAATACACTGGAACCACTGAATGTAATGCCACCTAAGGTGTTACTGACGAGTGAAAATATCTGTTCCAGGCTCGTGGCCTAAAGAGGCTTCTTCTTAGGCCACTTCAAAGTGGTACAAGTGTAGGATTTCCCAGTTTAGCCAGTGAAATTCCAGAGATTCCATTTGTTGGCCAAAAATATTGAACATCTATCGATACATTTCACTTGTCAAGAGCCTAATTCCTGAGTGTTACTATACTAGACGGTGCCACTTCTTTCCATGCTACTGCCCATACAGCAGCCAAAAACCAGGTTTTCCGATACAATGTTTCAAGAAACTAAATATCTCTTGTGTTCTCATAGGCTGAGCCACGACGCTTATGTAGCATGAAACTATGAGGTCCTTTCGGATATTGGTCATAGATGTTGGGTTATCATTAGTCATGCATATTAATGAAAATAGAATTTTTCCACCTTCTAATCATGGACCCATTGCAAAAGTTATGATGTTGAAAATGTAGTCATATATTTTAGAGTACGTAGCCCAAAATCCTACTTTCATGCTTATCACTTTACTGTCTAAAGTTTATACGTGGTCCCTGCCCCCATTCAAGCTTGTTATGCGAACTTATGTAAGCATAGGTAATATTTAGATATTTATATGAGCAGTTTCTCAAAACATTGTCATGTTTGAAAACATTTCCATATTGGGAGAGGGTGAGAAATTGTTTTCTATTCAATCATGTACCTTGGACTTGATTTTCCCGATGTCTGTCTCAAAGTTTGGACTAGTTCAGCGAGGTGACACTACCAGAGAATGCTTTCCGACTTTTAATCAAACCCTCATTTAAATAGCGACAAATATATTTATAGATGGCACTGAATCAAGCCAACTCCACTATGAATGATGATAGCATTGCAAAGTAAAATTTGCAACACCCTTTGCAACATTGTCAGCATTAGGGTAATGTGCTTCAGTTCAAGTACATTACCATATTTATATGAATCATCTATTATAGGGAACTCTCTTTAAAAACACTACACCCACAGGTTCCAGAAGTCATGAGCAATATGTATTGGAGAATCACTTAACGCGTTATCTTGTTTTACGAGCAATATGTGAATTCGTCACACACACACACATAAAGCTGCCATATAAAACAAAAAATATACTTTTTTAACATGTCTCTATGTTTGCTGTTGGCGGTTTATGTCGTAGCTATCAGACCAAGGTTAATGCCACACACACACACTGCAAGGTAGTATTTAAATGCCACTCCATAACCACTGTGGGTATTCCAGAATGCCCAGGTCTGGTCACTAGGAGAGTTCTGTAAATGAGTATTCAACTAGCATTGTATAATGTAATTGATGTTATCATTTAACAAGTGTGCAAGACTCATGCACACCTCTTAATACACAACGTTAAATTAAATACAACCACTCCTTTAAACTGGTTAATATGGACAAGTTTAGCTGTGTTGGGACATTTATATTTTGCCTAGTGGCACTGTGGTCAAAGTGCTTGACTCACAGTCTGCCTTTGGGCTGGAGGTCATTCACTGTCCTACTAAGACGATACTGATAAATGTACCACAGAGGTACGTTCTCATTGTATGGGATGTGAAAATGAGTCCCCATCTAAATAACATAGACACTTATGATCCCACGAGACTCCTTGATAAGGATAAATGATATTGATAATGACATCCCGGCTAAATCCCCAAGAGTGGCCAATTAATTCTCTAGCCAAGGGAATTTTCCTCCCACCATCCCCCCACGTCCCCCATTCCTGAGGCAAAACCCATGCAATACACATTTTTATTCAAAGTTTAAGTGGTAATATTGTGCTGTTATCAACCAGCCAGATGGGAGCTGTGGTCAGTCGAAATTAAGTTAATATTCTATAACCTCCAGGATGAATAAAATGAGTACCATCTTTTTGGAGAGCAGTGCCCTCCTACGGTGAGAATGGCCCACCGTCACGAGAAAGTGGAATTTGCACCACCGATTTTTAGGGCCACTATTAAAGATAATCATTGCGATGCTATACATTAAACCAAAAAGTGTTTTTCGTGTTTTGGCAAACTAAACGCTGCGAAAAAAACGAGGCTACCGCGATGAGGATACGGAACACAAAACGAGTGAGGGCAAGACGAGAAAACGGCTGGCTCAGGGCGCACTGAAAGCAAGTGGCGTTTAAGATCTCTATCCTTGCAGTGCGATGCATAGAACACACGGATGCTCAGAAAAGCCATTCACACACAAGGCACTTCGTCTAGTTCGAGGAAAAATAATTTTACGAGTGTAAAAAATAAATGTTAATAGTAATAATGGTGACAAAATGATAAAAACATATTACACATCTTAAAATACACCATATGCAACAGGACCATATTATACTTATCATTCATCGGCCACAATAACTTGTTCCAGTTTGGGTATAATCGTAACATCGTTATGAGCGTATAGTATGCGATCGCGTTCACTACCGGCTCCCAGCGGGTAGGTAGAGACGCACCCACCACTGCAGCACACACACACACACCACCATCACCACCACCACAACGGCCGCATCTATTCACAAATGTACAACGCTGAAATGTAACCGCTCCAAAGCAGCGTCGAGATGGTGCGGGTGAGAGCGGGGGGGGTTGCAACAACGACGCGGACGCAAGCAATGGGACACGAAGCATCACCCATGCCGTATCCATTGCCAACCCACTCATCCGTCATGCGACGGACGAGCAAATTCAATTTCTGTCCCGTCTGTCCTCTGCGCGCGCATCTCCAGACGCGCGTATGCTTGCAGGCACGAGCATACGACGACGCAATGTGCGAGAGATGCGACGATTGAAACGTAGGCACGCTCCCGCCACGCAACTCATCACGACAGTTGCCCTCAACATAAATGGACGCATTGTTGTTTAATTAGTACAACATTAGAAGCGGTTTTACTATGACGAGCGTTTGCTTGGTGTGGGTGTCATGTTCTTGGTATCGCTTTGTCTTTCCTCTCGAAGTCTAACGACTGCCTCTCATGCATATATACTTACACAGTTTATTGGTATAACGTGAAAACATGCCAGCACGTTTTTTTTTTAAACGCAATGTAATGTCTTTTCAGTTTCAACCTTTTCAATCAGCCCACGTGGTAAGGACCTATGTTACTCCCTTAACCCCAAACACAAAGGGTAATAATAACTAGTATTTGGAGAGCAAAATGATCGTTGTATACCGGTGTAAACCAAACAGCTGCTGCATGCATATATCTAAATGCAGTGTACGTTGTGAAATCAGACGCATTGCAGTTAATATACCAGTGTCAATGAGGATCAAAGCTACAGGTGAATGCTGTGGGGGTGAAGATTTGCCTCAAGGTAAGATTACATTCCATGTTGATGCGTGATGTCAGAATTCACTTTTTTAGACAGTTACACACGTCAAACACCCTTTTGTGATAATTGGATATATATATTTTAAACATTCCTATAGATACACCGTTTGAGAGATCTCGAATTGCATCCGAATATTTCGAGTTCAAAAGATTACGAAGCCAAGGAATTTAATTTAATCCTTCTGGTCGCACAAAAAAACTATAATTCAACCTTATGATGAATGTAATCGTAAGTCATGCAACTTGGTAGCTTGCTCACGGTGTAAAGGGGGATTTCAAATTGGCCCGTAATCGTCCCAGAGTTGGTACTTCGTGAGAGGATGACAGTGGTCATTCTATAGAGTGACAGCTGACCCCCCCCCCCCCTCCATAGCAACGTGGACTTTAAATCACTGACACGGCTATAAACAGAGGTGAGCAGCTAGCTCCCCATTCTTGCTCAATTTATTACTCAATTAAAATTGTTTGGATATCCCACAGAGTGAGGAATGTCGTATAGATTTAATTTACTATTATTTGATTGGGCGGTGGATACATTACGTGATCTCTTGTGATTATGGTGGTGTCAATGTTAAATATTGCAGTTACGTAGTGCGTGAAATGGCTTGGCAGCTTTTCCACGTCATGTTTATTGCCGTTCGGTAAAAAAAAGGTCATAACCTGGATACTGTTTAAAATTACGGCACACACGCTCAAAAAAGCACTCGTTGCAAACGCGCACACGGCACGCACACACGACACAAAGCCATCCGTAATCATCACAGGCGTGCACGACATTTACACTGCCATCACCGTCATAATCATCACACGTAAGATCGCGCAGTATAATTGCGGGATTATATTGTACGTAAAACAGCATGTCCAACAACAGATGTGTTTACCCATGCCGCAACATGGTCCCTTGCTCCCCTGGTAAGACAATACACAGATCCCACAAGCCCACTGCTAGATGTCCCTCGTTGCAGGCCGTTCGCACTCAAAAACACTTCAGCGCTTAAAAACTGCGTGCAGTCACCAAGCGAAACACGTGTGCTTTCCTGCAAGTGTCCGCGACGACTCGTTTTAACCTGCAACCGACAACGTAGCCCGTCTGAGCTGACGTGTCACGTTACTAGGATTGTCTGCTTACTCGCGAGAGAGAAATGTCAGTGTTTGGGGGAGGGTTACTCCAAAAAGTTATCAGTTTGATTTCCAATTACTTACAGGCAGGTCTTAAATTTAGCCGGAGCTGTCCAGCGCTGAGCTCTGGGGGGAAAAGAAAATCCCATTTCCGTACTTGACGGACTGGAGCAGCGCCCTGTGGATCGGTGGGTCCTGGGAAATGTTGGAGGATAAATAATATCCTGCTCCTATGTAATATAATGTATTCTCGTGTTAGCATTTGCAAGAAGCAAGTCTGTTTACTGGCTGACACGATTACTTTAATAAGATCAACATATGGTACCGTATGTTGCTATGCTTGACTTAAGGTTTTGTACAATGATATATTCCCCGAATATTCATTGCCTTCTGTCACCACAATGATTCAGACTTCTGAGATCATACCCTCAGTTTGTTTTTCGAATTATCTTAGAATTATGACATGAATTCAATCGCAAGAAAGCAACCCACCGATACTACGTGCAGTACCGACAATTTAATTACACAATGGAAATCAGGAACTATCACGGTATTACTGGTACCTGTCTTTTAAGATAATTGCAAGGTACTTGTACAAGGTACTTGTAGTCACACTTATACCCAATAGATGGCGCTGTAGTCTTGCATTGCGGTATACGGGCAATCTGGCTTTTAAAATTTTCGAAAAAAGCTCCGTTACATTCTGTCTGATTTTCCACATTCATGCAGTTGTTTTCAAACATTAAAATACATTGAAGCAAATATAGACGATGTTCAGGACATTCTGGTTTCAAATTAACCCTACACACCTATAATTACTCTGAACATCCTATATACCATATATCAATTATTACCCAAGACTGGGATTAAGAAGCCAGTGACAACATCACTTTTGAAAGGGAGATCTGAGCTCAACAAGTTCTCAAATGTCATTAAGGGTAAAACAAAATAACTGTATAAATCTATACACCAGTACAAGGGTTTACTGCGAAGCCTACCAACACATACAATGCTGTTTGGAGTGTAAACAGTAACCTTATTAATTACCGTATATAACACAACCACACAATGTTGTTTTCCCTTCAGGTTATTGCGAAGATAACGTTTTTTTATGTATAGAACAAGAGTTCTAGGTAAAACAATGTTGTATAGCTGCAGGTGGCAATATTACCATCCTAGAATCATTCCTGCGGCCTTTAGTTTCGTGCTCTCCAGACGTCTCCACTCACAATTTCAAGAAACCGTGGCTTGACATACGGACTGAGCAATTACACGTTCATTCAAAGGCAAGATGCCACCGTGCCTCGACATCACATTTTCCTTCTGCCGAGTCGAAACATTACCCTCGATGGTCTCTGCTCTTTGGCTATCCCACACAATTTCGGGTTCAAGCTCTTTCCTGTCGATCGTGGACTTCTGAGCGCAACTCCTACGGCTTGCCTTTGCCACCAGCCCTCCGCACAACATGAAGCCAAGAGCGTTTCACCATTCCCAATTTATAATCGCATTGAATCGGAGGTCACTGTACACTTGCCTCATGTACATTCTCAACAGTTCAGTCGCAATGGCCCAACACTCAACCTACTTTTTTTATCCATCCTTTTTTTTATCCGACCAATTTTGTTTGGTGCTCTCGAGTATATATGCAGATATCTACTCATACGCTGAAGAGGTAATATTATAGACGTAGATGTCTGAGCAGGAATGCAGTACATCAGAGACCGACTATCAGAAGAGATGCTGTACAGACTGTACTAGATTGCGGCCTAATATTGCTGAATTTAGAAATTTCGCGTTTAACATAACCCAAAGAGTACTCTTTTAGAGCCACTCAGTGTTTTTTCTCCATCATTAATGGCCAATACTGGTCTATAACGTGCGGCTACCAATGTATTACTACGATGGTCAATCACTTAATGCAACGTCATAGCTGCCAATGTTACTGTTGGCTGAGTGGTGTTGTGGTTAGAGTGCTAGAAATGTCAGGTTGACAGTTCAATTCCCAGTATGTGGTTTACTCACCTAATTATCCCTCTGGATTTAATAAAAAAAAACAACCTGGTATCCACTTTGTCGGAAGTCAAAATGTCCTATGGAAATCCTGGCCCACTCCAAAGAAACGTGGAATTACTTCACCACTGGCTGAGAGCATGCAATTGAGATGAGGACTGTCCATATATCATTTGAGCGGGGAGACACCTAGACCTCAAAATGCTGCAAGAACAAAGCACGTGACACATCTCAGAAAAGCAGATAAAATGTATTTGTTTTGACCAACATACATAAAAGCAATGCATATATTTATAGATATATGCATGCTTTTAATTACCAACGTTGCAAAGCTGTGTGCATGTTAGAACAAATCCCTGTCAAACAATACGGTCTGTGTGCTTCTGTTTTTTCCCTTGGCTTAATGGCACATGGAAAGTACTCCAACTTCTCCAACTCCATATGAGGGCTTTCAATAGTCTAACTTGGCACGCATTTATTTACTGAACGTCAATGCTGGCTCACATTCGGGTTTTATGCTGTACTAAGAGGCATGCACTTCAGGCATACAATGCATGGTGTCATCATCATTATACATATATATATTTCTCAACCACAACCCTACCAGGGTTGATGAGTATGATTTTATTTTCAGTCAAAAGTGGTTTTCCTATGCAGTGACTGATCATCACCATAGCAATGTGGAATTTCCACCAATGGCTCAGGTCTGCCAACGGAGATGAGCACTGCTCCATACTCACTTGAGCGAGGAGACTCTGACTTGACCTACTCATATACTATTCCAGAGAGTGTCATTCTCACAAACAACACTTAACGCAAACAACTTGTACAAATTCAATTCCGTCACAGTCGACGCTTCCCTACGACGTGACGCCGTTCGTCCTTTGTCCGTTCCGTCTCCGGCGAGACGCGGATCAGCTGCCCGCGCTTGTGCGTGTCTCAGCTCAGCAACCCGCACCCCGCCTACATTGTGCACGACCGATCGCCGGGCCCGCCCGGGTAACCCTTTGCTCCGGGCGGGGGCTGCGCGCCTCCAACAGCCGCCCCGGGTCCGGCCGATGAAGGAGACCCGGCTCCGGGGCGTCCGTGAGCGGCCGAGGGCTTAGGCCTGAGCGCGGGCGGGTGAGGCTGAGCCTGCGATCCCGGCTTGAACGTCGACAAAATGTCCGTGCCGCCGCCGCCGCCCGTGTTGGTGCTCGTGCTGCGGCGCAGCTGCCCGGTGCTGGCAGGCGGCCCTCGGCGCTCCGATAGCTGCGCCACACGGAGCGGGCTGGGCGGCTCGGAGGAGGCCGACGGCGAATGCGCGTGGCCGTGCGCGTGGCCGTGGCCGTGCGCGTGAGACGCCGAGCCGGGGGTCGCGGCGGCGCAGGCGGCGGAGGGAGAGGGGGAGGAGGGGGAGGCGGAGGGAGGCGGTAGCGGCGGGGGTAGCGGGCCGCCTGGGAGGGTGTCCAGCACCACGTCGGGCGCGTGCTTCGCCGAGCTCTGGCGTTCCAGCTCGCGCAGCTCGTTGAGGGCAGAATTGAGCGTCTCCTCGATGTCCTGGTCCCAACACAAACACTGTGACTACACGGCAACACAGAGACATCCCAGTGCGACTCACCATCAGAAAGCTTAAGAGTTACAATCTCAGTAAATAGGTCAACTTAGCCCATCATTCTTATGGAGTTAGTAAATTGAGTACCGCATGGTAGGAATTCAGATAATACTTCTATAGCATCGTAGCATGACAAGCCTGGAAGGGTTTGATAGACAGCTAACAAAGTGTAATACTATCACATGCTCACTTTAATTTAACTTGTGGTAGGATTATTATTATCTGTATAGCTTGAGGCCAGCCTTTCCAAAAATAATTACTATATTTGGCTTACCACGAAGGGGTACAAACATTATTGACGCTGGGGGAATTAGGGTATTTGATTTCACAATGTTCAGACTGTGTCAATCCGTGGTTTTTACTGACCACCAGCGTCACCTGGCCAGAAGATGTATGAATACTATTTTTTCTACCATTTACATTCAAAATGTCTATAATTACGTTTTAATTACATTTCCACTCTGAGCTCTCCTCGCGAGCAATACATCAGCTTGTCAGAAAATGCCCCTTAAGTAGTGGCCTAGAAATGACCAATGAGGGTACACTTTTTTAGAAAACAATGCAACCCAATGAATAGTTGCATTTCTGTCTGACGTGTTTTTGGGTTGTACTGCGTGTTGTCTGGCACAATGTCTGAAGTTTCGCTCCACATGGTTGGAGTTTATTCAGGAACTGAAATGAGCAGCTCATGATTATACAGCATCAATTAGCATCGATGGCCGCTGTGCTATATACAGGGTGCTTCAAAAAATGTCAACACATCTGAGAATTTGCAACAATACCACAAGAAATGTGCCTCCGGGCTCTGGAGACCACCTGGAGAAGATTCCAGGCACGAGTTGACATTAAAAACGATAGTCCCATATAAGCACCCTGTATATGTAGCGTTGCAGCCAGCTATGCAGTGCAGCAAAACCGTCAGTCGTGCCGAAAATTCATGATACAACCCGAAAAGACATCGGAGAGCCATAGAGCACAACCGCAATAGCCTACCTTACTATTATTATAAAGTTAACACGTACATTTTTGCAGTCAATATTATGAATCACAATTTAATGTTTGGTTCGGCCACGTAATCATCTAGCCAGTTTTATGCCATGCAATTCTCCACGACCATAACAATTTGTTCTGAAGCCCTCCACCAATAGAAATTTAGCCAGATCATTACACGTCCGAAGCAAAAGACCAGTTACGAATCATTTTTATGAAGACCGCACGCACGCACGCACGCACCTGTGCGATTGCCTCTGCGTCCAGCGACTTGTCCGAGAGGCTGCTGTGGCGGCCCCCGACTCTCCGCACGGGCGGGCTGTCGGTGACCATGTGGGGGTGCGCACCCCCCACCCCAGACACCGCCGTCATCGCTAACGGCGGCACGCCCGGGGGGCAGCGCACGGCGCCACGGTCGGGACGGCCGAGTCCGATGGCCGGCAGGCCTGGCACGGAGACGGCATGCACCGCCACTCCGTAGCCGAGGCCGGCACGACGTTTCTCCGGGCTCTCCGACACTGCCAGCCCGGACACTGCCAGCCCAGCAGAGGACGGCGCGTGAAATAAAAAAATATATAAACATCGTTCATTTATACGCAGGATCAACGTCGGGAAGGGGCTACAGGTGAGGTCTTGGTCATTTCTTGCCCTGTGTCACTGATGGCAGAAAGGGCCTCCAGTACAGTGTTCTCTCTAGAGCTCTCCTCTAGAGGGTATTTGGCTTACTCTTCTACGTTGGATAGATGTCTTGGAAGAGATGTGAGTATCCAAAATGTACCCCACCGCACGAATCTGCTGATCGATTAAATGTAGCAAACTGATGTATACTGCCTGGGGGGACAGACGGAGGGGGAATTAAGAAATGTGCATCTTTGTTTCAACTTCCGCGCTGGGAGAACGAAGATAAAACCGGCGACCTCTGGATTGCAAGTCCAGTGCGCGAACCATGACAATACGTCGGTATACGCTGGAAGCGCAAGGCACTAGCTGAGGCTTTCATAGATATGTGGTAATAATTGGAATAACACCATCAAATGAAAATAGGAACGAAAGTAGGAGCAGAAGTGAAAGCGGCACAAGATGAATGGAAATTGAAAGCACTCTGTGTGGATGCGGCACTCTCTGGCAAGATACATGCTACATGAAAAATAATGTATCTATGAAAGCCCTGCTTAGTCTCAAGGCTGTTTTTCAGGAAGGTCCAGTGTTGGGATGCTTGGCCAATACCATTTTAATGAGTGTTTTCATATAAGAGGGAACACGGTATCCAGATAAAACCGACGCATACGAGTGGGATAACATTTTCTGTACGGCCATTTCTGGGCCATCTAAGACCCCGCGAGCATATTTTTTGAATCTCGCTGCACATGATGAAAGAAAGCCCTGCAAAGAAACAGACCACAAAGCCGAGCACACCACTAAGCCCAGCAAAACATGAAAGTAAACACAAGCAGAATCGTGCAGCCGATGAGAGAAACTAAATCTGGCACTGATGAGAGCCTGGGTTCAAATCTGGGTTTCAAGCATCCACAATTAAACCAAGTCCCCAGTGCAGAGATGATGATGATAGGCTCTGCCAATTAACTACATTTGTGTATTCATTAATTTATCCTAGCCTATCTCTGGGGCTTAAAACAGCATATATATTCTGTATGTATTGGGTGATTTTTATATATATATGGTGAACCACCAATAAAATAAGTTATGTAATACTATGTTAGAAGCGATACTCAAACACAAATAACAAAACATCAACAGTTTAAAGTGCTATGCAGTGTTACATGAGAGAAGCCAATTTAAATAACTCCCCGAGTAGTTTCTATGAACATAGATCCTGGGGAGACAAACGGAGCCAGGCAGTACCAGCCACACCAATCCCATGTACTATGACAGGTTTAATAGGTGCTCACTTAAAGTACATGCCCCAACAGTCTCTTCCTTTAGATACGTGTGGATGTATGTGTGTGGGGAGCGGTAGTGTAGAGTGTAGCGGTTAGCATGCTGCGCTATGAACCCTGCGGCATGAGTTCAATTCCCGCTCATGGCCAACACCAGTGACGATTATCTGAACCGGTCCTGGGCCTCCACTAGGTCGACTCAGCCTCAAATGAGTACCTGCTGCAGTGTGTAAACATCAACAATAGGGAGTCAAAGGCGGCCAGGCGTGGAGTTGGCCACCCATTCCCTCGTGTGCATTGCCAGCCTTCATAGGTGCTCGCTAACAGCACTTGCTCCAACAGTCCGTTAAGGTTATACGGGGGGGGAGGTCTCTGTCTTGTGTGCGTAGGTGTGTATCACTCCCACCTCCCATCATGACGCCGCTACTGCTGCTGCTGCGCACAGGAGGCGGACGGCGGGGGCTGCCGGGGCTCGACGTGGAGCGGGGAGGCACCTCACTGAGGAAGCCGCAGCCCAGCGGCGGAGCTCCGCTGTGGGGCCCGCCCATGCCCACTCCCATCACGGGGCTGTGGGTCTCCCCGTTCCTGCTCTGCCTGCGGGAGCCAGTGGGTGGCATCACCCCCTCGGACGAGCGTTTCGGCCTGACGAGAGAGTGGAAGGGACACATTCGAGACGTTTGATCACAACTCGGAAGAACCCGACGGGAAAGGAAGCTCTCTTTCACAGGTGTCCAAGCTGAGCTTGGGCGGCAATGGCAAAACGTTATGAAGGAAGTTGCATCGGTAGATAATAATGAAACAATCGTACGTAAACTGGAAGAAAAAAAACAGAGTAGTACTGTATAGAAAAAATAAATACAACAGCAATAGTGACAATTCATCTAAAGAAAGGAGGAAGTACATTTGAAAATACACGGTGGTCAAATCATAGTTACAAATCACAGATGTAGCTCTTGTCATGTTTACTGGTTTAAGCTTTCACCCAAATTTAGTTCCCCCCCCCAATTACATGCTGCTTGTACTCAATCAGCATCATGTCTTGCAATGTAAAATAAAACAGTGTAACATCACCCCGTCGTAAAGAATAGCCTCCAGAAGATTTTCTAAAATACTGTACTGGACCTCTCAGATAAAACTAAACTATTTTTTATTTTACCGGGTGAGGGCCACTGAGCTATGTAGCTCTTTTCAGAAGCAACCTGGCCACGAATAGAAGCTCAATTAAGTGGCTTATCGTGTAGAAATTTACGTACCCAAATATTCTAAACGCGTGTTTCTAAACGTGTAAACGTGGAGGGAAAAACTAGTAGAACCCGGAGAAAAATCCACGTAGGCGTCAGGGTCAAGATCAAACTCGCAACCTCCTGTATACCAGGCGAGGTAGTTAAAATCTTACCACAGTGGAGAAAGAAGTGAAACATGCATATACGGGAGTCAAATAGAAACATGTTTAATTGTCAGAGCTGGGTATTTTTCAAGTGAAATAAAACATCGAATTCGATACAACAAATGTTTCATGTGCAGTCATGGGTGACCAGGCTTAGACCGTCAACTCGCGAAATTTGAGTTGTCATCACGAGTGGATGCTCAGGTGGCTGCTTCAACACCCCAGAGCTCAGCGACGTCAGCTCGATGTCGCGATTCTTGAGCCACATCATTACACAGCCTCTCTCTGATTGCGCCTTATAATTGTATCGCCAATTGTAGAAGATAATCATTATAGTATTGGAGTCAAGGCATGAGGTAGGGACATTTCCTCCTGGAAATCCTAATGTATGTTAAACTTCTTTTGCACCGTACACAGCCAGCCGTGATAATTGGAGGTGAGGGGGAAGGACAGCAAACTAAACACAAGAAGCAATTCTCAAGAAATTCGTTTTCAATATAGATTTAAAAGCGCATAGCTCCAGTGGCTTCCTAATATCAGAAGGAAGAGCATTCCAGACGGCCGCAGAAGCGCATCTGAAAGTGCGCAATGCAGTGACCGTCTAATACTGAAAGAGCATCTTGTCCTGTAGGAGAATGGCTCTCTGCAAGATGACACTGCAACATTACGTATGGAGCCACTTCAGGAGGACTCTTACCCTGGAAGCCACCGGTGGCTTGTGGCTCTATATTGGGGGTGCTCCAAGTGCCATCTAATGCTTCACCATCTCAGTGATAGGAACAGATGCATTAATCAACTGGCTGTAAAGTGAAGGCTTCATCAGCACTTTCTCTACCAGATGGGCTCATTCAATCCAAGCAGATTCCCCACGAGGACTGCTCTGCTGGGTACCCACCTATGGAGTATTATTATCTGTTGCTTTCACATTCCAATCATCAATTCACCAACTCGTGTCAAATGAGATGAGAAAACCCGAGGAGGCATTTGTAAACTGGAACCACGTGCCACCAATGATAGAAGCGTTCTTTTGCGTGTTATAAAATGCGGTTAACAGCATGTCAATCATCCAATATAGATATACATTTTACATATTTAGGAGCTAAATTAAGATGAAAGCCATTGAGTTAAAGGCCCAATTACTCTGTTTTTTCCACAGTCATTTGTGACTGGGCTGCTTGACTTACTGACTGAAAACTTATTTTATTCTAATCATGGATGCTACTCAAATATTGGCAGCTCCCACTGCAGAAAATATACATTTTCACCACTGGCTCTGGGCCATCAAAAGATGTGAGTGTTGCTGCATTAGTCATTAGAGCCAGAAGATTATCCCGACATTTCCAAGAGATTGATTTCATCTGCGATATCGCCGTGAATCAACTGGACAACGAAACTGAAGCAAAACGTTTGCCAAAATGTATTTTTTTTTATTGTGTTTAGCTGCAAAGGACTTGACCATGTGGCACAAGCCGTAACGGCCGACCAATTGATTGGGACGGGATGTGGGAACTGCTGCAATTCCACGGGGTTGAGTAAGCAACATCTGGCACAGAGGGGGGGGGGGGGGGGACGAACCTGCCGCCCATGTGGCCCACGCACAGCTCGGCGAGCCGCTCCGTGGGAGAGCCGACGTCGTTCTTGGAGGAGACCTTATCGTCCAGGAGCACCCCGCTGCTCGCCTCGCTGTCCGCCTTCTGGCTCAGGCTATCGGAAAAAGTGTCGTCCCTGCAACAGCAACGGTGACAAAATAAATCAAGTGAATTATCCTGCACGCTGTAAACACATTGCTTCACGGAGACTTACAACACAAAAATGAGTTTTTTTTTATTATCCTCACTCAAAAGAGAGTTGTGGCAAAGTGGTCCTGAGTTAGTGGTGGAAATTCCATATTCCTATCGCAGGGACACGTTCATCCTACATAATTTCCTTCGGGTGTAATGAATGTGTAATTACATACCAAACTTGAAGGGTTAATATGCAGAATAATAGCAACATTTGTGTGGACCATTACTTATGTACAAATCATTTGGCGATGCTGCGTTGGAAGTGGTGCACAGGAAAATAACAAAAAGCTTTTGCCACTGCCAGAAACGTCGCCGATTATATATTTTTTTCTTTCAAGGCAGCGTAATTGATTAAGGCATCGAGTCAATAATGATATACAAAGTACATACGGGCAATTGAAATAGTCAATTTTCGATCACTAATGGTGCAGGAAGTTATTATAAGTACCGCAAACCCTGTTATATAACGTGTTCATACGGTGTACAGAATTCCCACGTTATTCACCAACGTGCTATCCGCTATTTTGGCTATCTGCAGTTCGCATCTGGAATGCTACACGACAGCTGCATCGAGAGAGAGAGAAAGTGGTGAGATAAAGTGATGATGTGCAGAATCAGAATTTTTCGTGTTATAATTTTCACGCATTTAGTAGCTTATTTATGGATTTATTTAAGGTAATTCATTTTTTAAAAGATAGGTTTTCTTAAGCCAATATCATTATCCACGAAATGTGCTGTTCACGTGCATCTCCGGAACGTATCCCTCATGAATAACGAGGGAACAGAGTACACGTGAAGTCGGTCAAAACAATCTGGAGCGCATTGCATTGTGGTGTGCGGGACACTTTGTACACAGGCCACTTTGGGTACACGGCAGATGGGAGTCGAGAACAAAAAATACTGTCAAGCAAAAACGCTGCTGTACTGCCCTCTGCTGACAACGTTGCCTTGCAGCAGCTTGCAGAACCCGTTAAGTATGGTGGTCGTCCATCCAAGCAGTAACCCAGGCTCAAGCCCGATTAACATCCGAGTACCGATTGAATGTGTACAGAATCACTGCGATTGAGTCGGACAAATTAAACATAACATGCAGCGGGCCGTACACAGCAAAGCATCAACATCAATACAGCTGGCCAAAACAACGGAACGCACTCTCAGGATTGGCACTGCCATGCCCTGAAACTTTAAATGCCCTTTTTTGTGAGAGAGAGAGAAAAGACGTTTAAATCTTTGTAACCGAATCCTTAACAAATAATTTAAACAAGCTAAAAAAGGGGTTTTCGAAATTCTCGCCTGTTGTTTTTTCCCCCTTGTGCATCAACACTGAGCTGCAGCTGCATAAATGTGTAGAGTTGGAGGTCTCCTTTAAATTTGGCTCTGCAAGCTACGGGATTTTGCACAGCATGCGAGTATATCTTTAGCCTTTTGGGCTTTGATAGACATCAAGTGGAATATGATTCCTGAGCCGGCGTTGCTTTGAATATGCGACATCTACTTGCCCGCCTGATTCATCAGCTGGTAGAGCCAAGTCAAAGTCAAGACTGTCTCCTCGCTCACACGAGCGTGGGGCGACGACTATCGTCTCCATTTACAACCCTAAGCCGGAGGAAGAAATTCCACTTTCCGATGGCGAGGGCGAAATGACCCGCTGTTGATAACCACGGCTGACTCTCCACAAATGAGTGCTCATTTAATTTACCAAAGAGGTAACGTTTGCTGTACAAAACAATGAGCGGCTTTTACATGATCAATCTAAAGATTGTATTAGTTGAGTGCCATAACCTTAGAGAAACCTCAATTATTTGCCAGGCTGATGTTCCTGCTGTGGTATTTGGCCAATTTCTTGCGCGATATATATTTTTGGCCAAGGAACAAAAATAAAGTATCTTGCGAAAACCGATAGGCATGATTATAGAGCATGAATTAAACACTGAAACCTACTCTAATACTACATCTCTGCCTGTTAGAAAGTATAGGTATGGTAGATGGGGAAACATGGCAATTGCTGATATAGGGCTCAGGGTGCCACGGTGGAGAGATGTTAACTCCCTTGCCTAGTATACAGGAGGTCATGGGTTCGATCCCGACCCTGACATTTGTATATTTAAAGTGGTTATGTTCTCCCCGTGGTCCCTTGGATTTTTCTTTGGGTCCTCTGGTTTTTCCATCCACATTTAGAATATTGAACGTGCGTTCAGAACATTTGGCTGTTATACATTTCCACGTGATAAGCCATTTCGTTGAGCTATCATTTGTGATAGCCAGGGCACTTCTGAAAAAGAGCTATATAGATCAGTGGGCCTTACCTGGCAAATAAAAAAAATAGTTTGATGTAGTTTTAGTTTAGGTGACGCACCATGAGAGAGTTAATGGTGGCAGTGGCTTTGATTCACGACAGCGTGAACACAGGCCAACACGTGCTGCAAGTGCTCGATTGGACCGGGATGAGCCCAAAATTGCACACGAGTCCCATGAGGTCAGCGGGTTCAAGTCGGTCGACTCTCAATAATGTCTCTCTCCCCTGCCCACCGATCGTCCCTTGAACACAAGCCTCTCTGCCCCAACCCTCTCTCCAAACACCTCCCTGCTCCCATTCCCATACGGTGTCCAATGTTGCACCGCATTCATTTAATCTGCCTCTCTTTCCTTTCTCTTGTTGACCTTCCATTTGTCTCTATTTCCAAATGGTTTTAGTTTTTTTTTCTTGCACACAACCTTAACCTCTTCCCACCTCTCCAAAGATGCATGGGCGAGGGAGGGCGAGTGCATTAGATGGGCTGGGTGGATGGGACAGGGTAAGAGGGTAATGTCGTAAGTGTTGGCTTTAGGAGACAGTACAGTAGTATATATATATATGTAGAGTGAGCAAGACAAAATATACGAGTTAATTTGTCGAGTAGATAACAATGTATTTTGCACGCTGTGAACTGGTTTAGACATTCTGAGTCTCATCAGCAGAGTGTGGCCCAAACTGGTCTGGAGTTTCAACGCTTTAAAACATTAATTATGAAAAAAATTGGCTTTGGCTCAACAGGCCAATGAATTAAAATGATTGTTTGGTTTTTACCCGGTAAATCAGACCCTCATCTGTTGATTATTTCATTATCCACAATCCATCACGACAGTGTGTAACAGATTAAGTGTTTAAATATGTGGTGGGCAGGCAAGATAGTGGTGATATGTGGTCGGGAAACAAGTAAAACATTGTTAATGAGTGGCCGAAACAAGGCAGTAACTTGGTGCCTTGTACACGGCAAGGCACACGGATAATATATGAGGGATTGGATATATTGTGTATATAAATGCAAGGGCTACATTGCCATCAGAGGGCAATGCAGCAAAATAAAACAAATTGTACTCCACCCACATTCTAAAATCTATGCTGCTCGTCTTTAACCATGCTACTGACCAGCAAGGTGAAGTATGGTCAAACAACCCCCAAGGTGCGTGCAGGGCGCCTCATCCAGCATCGGATTGCCAAATGGGCTTACGAAGTAACATACATGGCAAGTGTATACATCAGGGGGTGGTGGCAACGACACAGAATGAGTTGGCAGGACAAGTGAGCAGACAGGGTGAGCGGATAACACAGGGTGAGCTTAATTCAGCGAGTTGGCTTGAGAAGAGATGCTGTGTACAGAAAGTGGTGCATCGGCGAGATGGGGTGGCTCGTTGGCACGGTAGAACCAAGGGGTGTTATGGGTGTCCTGGGCACCCTCAGCATCTTCAGACTACCTTCTAAAAATAGGATAAAAATCTTGGTATTTTAGATTTCGTATTTTTATCCCTTCATCACGGTGACATAAATGCTGAATATTCACGACTGAGTCAGGAGCCAGCAGTTGTGGGGATTTAATATAATTATAGTGGAGAATTATTTTGTCCATTGAGAAATAGGGGACATAGTTCGCAGAACCTATCTCTGAAAAGGCAAAAGGCAAAGGTGCAGGGCTGCAATGTCTTTCTCGTGCCACTGTTAGCAGAAGCTCCTCTACTAGAGAGAGCTAAAGAGAGAGCCAATTTGGAGGACACTTGTGATCTACTCATCCACGCTAGTCAGATGTCTCGGAAGAGGCTGGAGTATCCACCTTCAACCCCACCATACAAGACCTTCTGAACTACTATGGCATCCCCATTAATACTGCTCGGCGGACAGAGGTGGAGGGAATTTAAGAAACGAGCCCATTGCTTCAAATTTGTGTGCTAAGAGATCGAACCGGCGACCTCTGGACGCAAGCCCGGCGTGCTAACCATTTACACCACGGCGGCACGCCATCAATCCGTGACCGAATCAATAACCAACGGGGAACCATTTGCTAGGGCAGCACAACCCCCAGCTGGTAAGAGCGTGGGCAGCTGCCTCGGTAGGTGGGGGTGGGGGGGTGGGTTGCTCTGCACTGCGAGGGGTTTCGGGCCGGGCGCTGCACTCACGCGTCCTGCACCACGATGTACTGGTGCGGCACGAGGCCGTCCGCGCCGTTGTGCCGCCCCTCCCACCAGTCGTCGGAGGCGCGGTGGTAGAGGAGCAGCGACGCGCCCTTCTTGAAGCTGAGCTCACGCGCAGAGCGGCCCGTGTAGTCGTACTTGGCGACCGCCTCGATGGGTTCACACTCTGCGGGCAGAGCATGGGCGCGCGCACACACACACACAGGCGCGCGGTCAATGCGCTCGAGAGAGAGTCGGTCATGTAGAGCAAGGCGGCACTGTGGGTACAACGCTCGACTTGTGGACTTACAATTGGATGCTTCCGAGTTCGGTTCGGTTCATGGGTGGAATCGTTTTACTCCATAGTTTTTAAAATATTTCTTAAATTCTTGGGATTATACGAGACACTTTTTTCCCCTCTGTATTTTAAAGCAAAGAGGATGATGGGGTGTATCTCTTAAGCATCTAATAACCGTAGCCTTAAAAGGAATTAAATAGGTGATGTTCCAGGCAGTGGCCCTAAAACGTCACAAGTTTATATTTTTATTTTAAGGCAGTGTTACTGAAAAACGTGTCGAGGTTTAAAATATATAATCGAGTAGATGTGTGCATGTGTATGACCATATTTGCGTGATATTACTGACGCTGTGCAAAAGTTTGGGGTCTGTCTTGCTTTCCGCAGCATCTACTTTGCGTGATGTGAACAGCGTTCATTCTGTGAGGAGACTGGCCCCCACCATGCGAATGTGGAATAACTGCCACTGGCTCGGGGCCACCGACGTAGATGAGCGCTGGTAAATTGTGGCTCACACGTATTTGTAAAACTCCTCAAAACACTGAGTTGTACGGTGGCCATGCGATGCCATTCAAATAAGTGGCTCTGTCAAGCTGTCTATATGGACTTTTGAGTATGTTACCCTCGTCTGAATTGGCTTTCTCCAGGTACACCGACTTCTTCACGCATACAAACCGCTCTTTAAATATAATCATACCAATGCAGGATCCTACTGAACATAGCCTTGATGCCCAGTGAGGATGTTTCTGCATTAACGTATTTTCTAGTTCAACACATACCTGCATATAATAATAATTGTTATAATTATTCTGGAGATGCTTGATATGATGATAATAATGTTATGCTCTTAACAATGAGTCTGAAGACTATTTTTTATGAGAATCCTACATTGGGCCGATTGAAGTTTGGCGGTTTAGCGTGAGGACAGACATCAGCGTCTTCTTCTTCTTTAGTGCTGCCTAACGGCGTGTGCGACTTCACGATGATATTGGTCCCGGTCTAGCACGGCGTGTAGAGTTTGTGCTGTTGTTAATTGTAGCCATGTTTTGATGTTACTGAGCCATGTCGTTTTTGGCCGTCCTGGTCGTTTTTTCCCTTCGATTTTTCCTTCCAGGATTTGCTTTAATAGCTGGTATTTGTGGTCGTTTCGGGCAATGTGGCCTATCAGCGTATCCAGACAAAACCAATGCAGTAGCGGGGGATCACGCTCAAAGATCTGCAAGGACAGGTTGACAAACCACCTTGTTGTACTGTCATCTGCTGGCCACATTGAATGTCCGGGAGTTTTACAAAAAACTATACTGGACTCAATCAAATGCATCCTGCAGCACAGCACGGAAGATCTTTTTTTTTTTTTATCAAACCCACAAATGCGCTTTTCAAGTGGCTAAGTTCAGAATGTTTGCCTGCGAATGCTGGTTCGTTTTGAGGATTTAACCGTAGCAACCCTTGTTTTGTGTGTGTTTTTGTTTCGTAAGTTAACTTAATAAATGCATTCAATGTGCCCCTTTAATTTTAAACACATTACCGCTGCCGGAGGGCATTAGTGAGGATTATTTTTACAAAGCACTTGTGAAAAATGTAAGATGACATCCTTTCAAAATGCATTTAGCGTGATCGCGTAATTTTCATCATCCACCGACACTGATCATTCCAGAGCCAGCAAGCACCGAGTGTTATTCTTGAAATAACATTCACAAAATCCCGCAGATGGCCGATTTATAAAGGGCACAATATACATGCTAACTTAATCCTTTTGATCATGCATGCACATATTGGGGCCAACAATTATCGAGACATTGGGTTTCATTGCACAATCAATTCTGCATGGTGCGTGGTGTTAAGAATTAGGCGGTTTTCCCCTCTGCATGGAAGACCTGTGTGCTTTGCTATGCGGAGTGTCGCTGAAGCGGTGAAAAATTGCCCATGGATGCGATCTGACACCGCATATTGCTATCAACGGCAGGACCATTGGTAAGAGCGATGAGTCTTGGCAAACAGCATTTATTGTGAGCGACCTTACAGAGCGAACGGGTACCTTAGAGGTCGAGCGTGCTTGCCTCAAAAGTACAAAGGTCTCCAGTTTTGCGTCAACTTTAAATCAGTATTTATCGGGACTTTCTTCCACCTACTTTGCTCCACAGTGACACGTCTATCATGGTACAAACAAGTCAGCGTCGTCATGTTCTGCTTGTTTTCATTTGTGATCCCGAGCCATTGATTGGTGCAGGTTTCACATTATTCTGATTCGAGGGCCGGTCTTTCCACAGGATGAGCCATTGTTGGCTCACGACCAAGAGTGGGAGATTTTAATGGCACTGAAAAAAAGCGATGTGCTGAGTTAAGCCTCGAGTAGGATGTGAACTTGCAGTCTGATAAATTATAGTCGAGCACTCTGCCACATTTACAAGAAGTATGCAACCTCTATAAAACAAGATAGGCAATTACTACCAGCACATGGCGGATTATAGCCACATTGCCAAGTGTAATGTATATTATTTCAAATAGTACAGCAAGTATGTGTGCGTGGACTAATGGTGATATATTATCGTATGTTTAACATGTAGGCTTTCGCGACCAATATTATCCATTTCCATAGGTTTTTGGGTTAGATCGCGTAAATATAAATGTGTCGTTAAACCCGCTACCACCTGACACAGCCAATTAGTAAGGTTTTGCATGTAAGCCAAACATGTGAAAGTGTTAATAGTTCAGCAGACCGGTGTGCAGAACCTACGACACTCCAGTGTGTGTAGTAACAAACCTTGCTAATTGGCTGTGTTGGGTGATGGTGGGTTTAACAACACATTTACATTTATTCGATCTATCCCAAAAAAACCTCTCTTATGGATTTTATCGTATGTTTAGGCTTTCTCAGGGCACTGCTGTTTCCTCCCAAAAACAAACAGTTTAATTCAATGGGTGACTGTTCATCTGTGAATGGTTTAGTGTCCACGGGGTTACTTGGGGCTCACAACATTTTGGGGCCTCTGTTGTTCAAGCCTGTATATGTTGCCGCTTGGCCAAAGTTTTCATCGTCATGGCCTCAATTATTTTCACTATTATGCTGATGACTCACAGATTTATCTTAAGACTCTAATACCATAGCAGCAGTTTCCGCACTATCTCGTTGTCGTACCGAGTTTAAGTTTTGGATGCGCCTAAAAGCTTTCTCAAATTAAATTGTGATCAGACAGAGATTATGTTGTTGGGCTCTCCACGTCGAGTGCGTAAATTGTTTGGTTTTTGTATCGCCATAGCCGGGACTGAAATTCAGTCTTCCTCTGAGGTCAGAAACCTGGGCATTATCCTAGACCCCAGTTTGACATTTGAGGCCCGTGTACATAATATTACCAAAATCTAGTTTTTTTTCACTTATGCAACATAACTAATACCTATGCTGCCCCTTCCTGATGCCGAGAGGCTGGTGCATGCCTTTATTTAATCAAGGTTGGATTAATGCAATGCCTTGCTTGCGGACATATCTAATAATGCTCTAAATAGACTACAATATATTTAAAACTCACCTACCTGGGTTTTATTCAGATCAAAACCGCGGGACCAAATTACGCCTATTCTTTCTTCCCTGCACTGGCTCCTAGAAAAGTACAGAATAGACTTTAAGACCAAAGACCTTTTGGCGTCCTCTGGTCTTTTGGCATCCTCTGGTCTAACACCGTTTGAGACTAGGCTCGAAAGAAATCTGTCTCAATCAGATTCAAAGACAATGCATATATTACCAGAGTATGTGTTTTGTTTGCATGCTGACCACAAGTATCGTGGTTAATGCAGACATGATTCCTTGCAAAAGGTTTCAGTTCGGTGTTTTAACATCGATAACACCTGTTTTGTTGCCAGAAAAAAGGAGAAAACCTATTCTCAGACTGTAACATCCTTCTTCTCACATTTAGGGGACTGAATGAATTGACTTTTATATATTCACTGATCTGTTAAAGTTTTATATTCCACTGCGAAAACTTAGATCTGCTGATTTTTGGTAAACTCATTATTGCAAATACCAGACCTTGTGGTATGGGAGACGGAGATTTTTGCAGCCAGGCTCTGCGATTGTGGAATTCCCTTCCTCGGTCCATGAGGGAATCTAAGTCTACTACACTTTTGAAATCGTCTCTTAAAACTCACCCGTTTTTACAACAGGGTTTCTCCATAACTTAAGCTTCATGTAAAGAGAATTGAGGCCTTGTGTGAATTGCGCTATAGAAAAGCCTAAGTTCTCTTTGTTATTCTTAGAGTTTGGCCAAACATCCCCATAGCAGGATCCCCTCCTGTTAATGTTTTTGATACTTCACCGACGACTAAAGATCTGCAAACAATTAAGTCCAGTTAATGTTTACTGACCAATAAAAAAAACTACTTTAGTTTCCATTACAATGGATGGTTGCTTTTAATTTAAACTATAATTAATACAAAGTGTGTAGTATATCTGCTTGCTTTGATAACGAGTAGAAAAACCCTTAATAACTTCCAATACGCATTAATCCCCTGACATTATTTTAATTTACTTGTCCAGATCTTGCTTTTAACTCAATAAAATTAGTGTCTATGTTTCTATAATATTATGAAAATATATAAATATATACTACAAAGCGAATGATCTTTCATAATTAAAACCAATTATTTTGCGATGCTGTTTTGGCAGAGGTGTAAAAGCACAATTAACAAACAACTCAACACGCTCATAAACAACATGGCCCTTCGTCATAGCACATGAACAAAGAGGCCAGAGAGCGTTAATCAGGGTTGGAGACTGCCCTTAACACCATGGGGCATGATGAGAATTACATTATAAAATGTGCTTTCTAATGGCCAGATTATAAATAGGTATATGCAAAGTTACCTAATAGTAGCGACCGAGTAACAGAAAAAAGCCCTCCGGTAATCAACAGTGTTCCTAAATGATGGCCTTTCACCCGCATTAATCGACTGCAGTATTATGTAACACATCAAAAGCTCAAATGAGCATGAAGCAGTGCTCATATCTCTCGGCAGACATGAGGCAATTCCACGTGCCTATGTTGGGGATCAGTCTCACCTTGGAATGGCCAGTGCTGAATTTCCAACAAAGTACGATTCATGTTATCAAGCTCCGGAGAGCCACACTTTTTGTTCTAAATATAACCAAGCCCAACATATGGGAATAAATGCACATCTATCATAGTTTGCTCAACCATTTTTTTTTCTTATATCATCTGTGAAATGAGAAGTGATCGGTATGAGATATTCGCGCTTTTTTGACGCTTCTTGCAGAGCTTCGCAGTTTGCGCTGCACAGCCTCCCCAGTTAACGCTACAAAAACCTTTATTATGAATAATATTGGTCGCGAAAGCCTCTGTGTTAAACTACGGGTGTATGAACCGTATAAATACACGTTGGCTGTTTCACGGCGTACATGAAAACAAACAGAGTAGGCCACGTATGCCAGTACCATGGTCCAAATTTGAAGAATGTCGAAACGGTTACTTAATTGGAAAAGCCGTAACACCATTGCCCAAACACTGCTTAACTTAGCCGAACCCTTCTGCAAAACACACTCGGCGAAGTTTTTCATGGCTAAATAAATAAAATATTAGCAAACTCGACGCTCGAACCTAAGACGGATGTCAGAGGATACTTCCTCCATAAACTGACATGGGCAGGTGTTGGCAGTAAAAGTTTAATGTTAAATGCAGGACATACTGACAATGTGTTTTAATCGCAAGCGGTTCAGTGGTATAACATGCTCACCATCCTCGCTGGTGTGTGGCTCTGTCCCCGTGTCCTGGTCTGCCTCCTCCATCGTGCCAGGCTCACTGTGGGGGCTGTCGCTGAAGTCGAGGGAGGGGAGAAACGTGAGCAACACAATCACATCGTGCCAAGGTGCACTACACCACCAGCATCGTGAAGACATGCAACGAATCAGAATATTTGTTTATACTGGAGGAATCCGATGAGCTATAAAGCTCTTTTCACAGATGTCCAGCAATGGGTGGGTCAAACGTTACAAACACGATATGACTGAAACGTATAGGAAAAGTAAACAAATCAATAAAAAAAAAATACGAAAACTAAACAATGTTTATCTTACCAGGTAAAGAGCTATTAGCTTCTTTATCAGAAGTGACCTGGCCACAAATGATAGCTCAACAAAGTGGCTTATCGTGTGGATTTAGCCCCTATCATGTACACCATGATTCGATTAACTGACATGGTTAGGTAACAAAATAAATAAGCACTCAATGCTTCCTTCAAATATCATGCTTCTTCCACGTAAAAAATAATATACTTTTATACACATCCCATCGACCGCATGGCCTTCTGGGAGTGCATCTTTTTTTTAGCAGCGTGGTTTAGTCAAAGTAAACTCTGGGTTGGTTTCAACATTCAGTGCCTCTTCAGAAGAGTTGGTTTAGTTAGAACCACTGATGGTAAATTGCCCAATGTTTAAAGGCAAGGAGCCTTTTTGTAACAAATGGTTCCGAGTTTCACACGTAGGCTTTCGCGACCAGTATTATTCATAATAAAAGTTTTTGGGTTAAATTGCGTTATTTATAAACGTCGTACTCAAATTGTAAATGTTGTGGATCCACTCTTCAACACGCCGGTGGGCTAAAGTAGTGAACTATTTGTCTTTTGTCAAAGTGACACATTTTTTACTGATTGGCCATGTCGGGTGGTGGAGAGTTACGACACATTTATAAATAACGCGATCTAACCCAAAAACCTTTATTATGAAATGGTTCCAAGTTCGATGAAAAAATATTAAATCTATCATAATCATTGAGCGTCATCGTGCAGAATGAAACGCCATTTACTCATTCACTGCTTGTTACGATTGGGAGTTGCAATTGGACTGAAGAATCTATTATATTTTGTGATGCTGTGTACTCACAGTGTACTCAATGACATCACACGCAAAGAAAGCACCATCAGCCCTGACTCTGCTTTGTCCCGAGCCAGATTCAAATGTCTCGTGAGGCCCGCCGTATTGTGCTTTGGCTTTTGGCTCGACGCGGCAAATAGCCGGTGGAAAACAATCCGTACCACGAAGGCACTGCAGCGGCTCGGCTCGGAGGTGTCAGTGGAAAAGGGCATAAACCAGCGGTCGGGAACCTATGGCTCGCGAGCCATATATGGCTCTTCCGGTGACGGCATATGGCTCCCAGACAAATTTGAGTTGAATAATAAAAAAAATAAAAATAAAATCAGTTTGGAACTGATTTTAAAATACTTGTGATATTGCTTAATAATACTGTGTCATTTTAAAGTAAACAGAAATTCGTTTTAAAGATAACATTTCCCGGGTCACGGGTCCCGTGACCAGAAGTCGCATTAAAAGTAAGACATATTTAATTTATTATACGTTAAAATACTATATGGCTCTCAATGAAATATATTTAGAAATATTTGGCTTTTATGGCTCTCCCAGTCAAAAAGGTTCCCGACCCCTGGCATAAACCGTCCCGAACGTGGCGGCAGTGATGCTCGCGAAAGGAGCGGCACTCACCAGTACTCCTCCTCGCCAGTCATGCACTTCTCGTAGATGGGCCCCTCCAGCTCCTTGGACCCCGGAAAGATGCCCTCGTGGTGGATGATGATGGTCTTGATCACCTCATTGACGTGGGCCTGCACGGACACCTGGTCGTGTCCCTCGGGCACGGGCATGAGTGTCGGCCCGAAGCAAATGGCCAGGTTGTACGGGTCCATCATGTTCTCATCACTGAACTGCGACAGGCTGTCGGGGTAGCCGGGGAGTGGGAGATAAGAGGAGCGGAAGAGAGCAGGAGGGATTGAAGAATCGTTGTCTTGGAGTGCGTCTTTGGATATCAACGTCGTCAGCAACTGTCGTTCCCTCGCTAAAACCATAAACCTCGCCAAATTTTCGACGTGTTTCTGGGATGTGCCGGGTGTTGTTTGGCGTGATATCTGATGTTTCGGACATGACGTTTCGCTCCATGTACTGGGAGAATCATCGGGAACGGAGGAACGGAATTGAATTCAGTTGCTGGAAAAGCTCCATGCGTGCAGAGTGTAAACGTTGGACATCGTGCCGAAACAACACCTAGCACAACCTGAAGACATGTCGGAGAGCTGTACGGCACAACCGTCAAAAACCTACACAGTAACCTTACCACCGGTGTTGTAAATACTGCCGTGTAAGAGATTAAAATATCATATTGGGCTGACGTTACCCTTCTTCGGAGCAGAGAGGGCAGGCAGCCAGGCTGACTGAATGATAGTCAGACACTGCGTATCACGGTTTGGTTTCGGCTCGGCTTGCCAAATAGCCAGCGGAAAACCACACAGTGAGGATGTGACAGGATGTGCCAACACCTGCCTCGAGTATGAGTTGAAACCTCACAAACAGTTGAACAACTGTAATTCGGTGTTTCTGACTGTCGTCTCGTGGCGCACTGATAAAACACTCGTAGACTATGGCGTGCCATTGTCTGTAAATGACCTGGAGAGGACTTCAGCCAGCAGCGGATTGATTATGGCCTGATGCGGATGACAAAGGTAGTGTTATTTACTAAGGTGGTGAGTTTGTTGGGGGGTTTGCAAGACTTTTTTGTACAAAACTGCCAAGGCAATGTCTTCATATTCACTCTATGCCCCTCTCGCTTGGACGAATGCAACCCCAGCTCCTGTGTCATGTAGGATCATGGCACTGTAAAAGGAGATGATTCATCATTAAAACAAATATTTGTTTGAACTTTTAATTCATGTAGCATCCAGTTTTTGTACTTGGTTTATTTTTGTTTTATTTAAGCAAACACTGATTGCGGGGATATAACAAAAGCTACTGGATTCATTTAAAAAAGACATCCCCAATTTTGTTTCTTCTTTTCCTGAACACGGCTGCAGAATGTCGATTCAATAAAACAGCCCTCCTACTGTTCTAATCCAAAAAGCTGTCAGCACAAATCACAGACTCGGCGCTATCAAGGGAGGACAGAATGTGCCGTTTGTGACTGAGAAACATAGCACGAGGATTAGTCACGGAGAACGAGAGATTTCATCACTCTCCCGGCAGAAATCGCCGCACTCACTGCCTCGAATATCTTCCATATGTACGCACAAATTCTTATGAGTAATAAAATAATCCCGGCAGCAAGTGGTAATTTGACCACGATGAATCCATCCAGACACCAAGAAAAACAAGTGGGCGTGTAGTATTGGCTAGGATTTAAAATATATATATAAAAAAAATTCTGAATAGTTTTTTTCAGACTGAAATTTTTGGCTATAATGTTGACAGGTTGGAAATAAAGTTGACAGGCAATCTTAGGAATAATGTCACGTGACCTTTTGTAACAGTGAAATATGCAGATGACACAATATTTTATAGAGTAGCCATACACGTCTTGCATTTACCTGCCGGTTAAGTTATGCTAGAACTTTGGGACGATGACAAAGTCAGTGGTTTGTGTGCCCCACTTGAAGCGACATTTTTTTCAACTAACCGGCACATATACAACCCATCATGCGAATAGCCCAGCTGAAGTAAAGTTTGAATGGCGTATTTGTATTTATTTAGATCGGACGCAATGAAAAGCGGTGGGACCCTCTGACAATTGGAGCTAGGACGCGTGAACCCGACGACCACTGGCACTCACTGGTTGAGGAACGCGAGGAGGTAGCGCATCACCACGATGGTGGAGCGAGGCAGAGTGAGAATAATCTTGCGAATGTGAGCGGCCCTCTCGTACAGGTTCTCCATCTCTGTGCGGACGCAGCACACACCACGCACAAAGGCACCGCTTACACATGAAGACAGAAGATCCCCGTCATTCTCCTTTGCAGACTGCGGGTGCGAGCACTGTCAAAAATTCTGTTATCCGCTGCACAACCAAGCCGCACTGGGGCTGTGACAAAGCAGCCCGGCACAGCGCAGACGGCACCAGGTTGAACCAGAGCCGTGCCGCTTGACATCGCATGAGACGGACGAGTCGAGATACGTGCAGATGAGGTGGTGACGCCGTGTCCTTATAGTGTACCGACTGACGCCACGGGCCCTCAACTGGTCAATTAGCCCCAGCCCTCCCGAGCCAGATTCAAATGTCTTGAATTGGCTCAGGAAATAGCCAGTGGAAAACCACACCGTGAGCATGTGCAGGAAGTGCCAGTGTAAAAGGATTTCAGTGATCATCTACTAATGCCTGCATTGCACGCAATGTATTATGTATTTAGAACTTATTTCGCATCGTACGTAGTCAACCGTGCTAATGGGAGGTGTGGGAGAAGGACAAGAAACTAAACACAAAAATAAGTTCTAAACAAATACTATTTCAATCTATATTTCAAACTCTTAGGTTTTTTTCGGTAAAGTCACGTAGGTAAAAATAAAAATAAATAATAAAATGATAGAAATAATAATAGAAATAAAATAATAAATCACGACGCTTCGGGGGCAACACAAGCGTCCGTAATCAGGTGGGACAACCACAGCACAAAACAAATGCTGAAGTGGGCTATTATTATTTCAATCATTTAATTATTTATTATTTATTTTCCTTTTTACCTACGTGACCTTTACCGAAAAAAAAACCTAAGAATATGAATCCTTGCAGTCACGAAAGCTTCAAATCTATAACTATATTTCCAAGTTCATAGCTCCAGTGGTTTCCTTATATCAGAAGGAAGAGCGTTCCAGACGGCTGCAGAAGCGCACGATGCGGTGACCGTCTATTGTTCGATGGCTCGCCAAAAGCCGCTGCTGCGAGGATGACCGGAGTTCACGCGATGGTTCATGCTCCTTGACGAGATGAGCAAGGTGTTGTGGTTCATTTGTGGCAAGCACTTTGTGTGCAATTAGCACGACCTCATAATATATTCGTTCAGCAGCCGGAAATCAATGCAGCTCGGAGAGCAGTGGATGGACACGGTCGGAACTTGCAGTAACCGTCAGGACATGTGCCAAAGAAAAAATACGGTGGTGTGGTCAGAACCACCCCCGTTCACCTTTGTCTTCTCCTTAGATCTTACACTCACACAGCATACCAGGTACTATTCAATGCTGAAATTGGCCTTGCAGAGACTCATAGAGAGGTTTAAATACATACTCAAATTCCACTGTGATTGTATATGTCTGGGGATCATTTACTGTTTGTTGGAATCATAGTAGAGTAATGCTAACCAATTGATCCCCACTTTCCTGCTCGCACACACATGCATACAAGACAATGCCCTCGAAGTATGGCCTAAAAATGTCTTTGGTGCCAATTGTTCTCAGGTGCTAAAGCTGCATGTTGAATTCTGAGAGCAGTTTTATTTAAGATATTGAAATTCACACTGCTTTTATATGCAAATTAGTAGGTTCACTACCAAAGAAGGGTTTCAGAATTCAAAACCCCAGTCAGGGGGTTACAGTTTGTGGGGAATTCAACAACGATTGTCCTATGGATGGATTCATCCCCTGCCACAGGAATGTGGAATGTCCTCCACTGCCTCAGGGTTTTAAACAGGCGATAAGTGCCACCTAAATGCTCACAGGAGCAGGAAATTAAATTGAATTCGACTCATTTCACCGACAGTTTAATGGGGAAACACGCTTCCACATGCAAAGGTTTCCTAACATTCTTAATCCTCTCGAGATGTAACATTCAATAATATTGGCTTCTTGTAGTAATCAAAGTGGTAAAAGCAATAACTACAGCTCATAAACTTCACTTGCCTGTCTTGTATTAAACACTTTTACAATGTAAAACATACAGTGGCAGACAATACAGGCGAATAACATTATGAAAATATCATTCGAACAATTGCCTAAATTTTGTTTTCATAAGTGGACACAAAATCCATAAACTAAACTTTTTTCCCCCCCATGAAACTTTGTTTCAGGGAAAGCAAAAGAGGAAAAAAACAATCTCTCTATGCAACACGTCATGTGACTTGCATCAGGGCAGCAACGTCGTGAGACATTGCACCTCGGTCACCCAGTAAATAGGGAGCGTTGGGCCAATGTTGGGCCACCATTGCACGTTTGCAGGGCATGCATTACGGCCAATCTGAACGTAATACGCGTGGCATTGCACCTCGGTCACCCAGTAAATAGGGAGCGTTGGGCCAATGTTGGGCCACCATTGCACGTTTGCAGGGCATGCATTACGGCCAATCTGAACGTAATACGCGTGGCATTGCACCTCGGTCACCCAGTAAATAGGGAGCGTTGGGCCAATGTTGGGCCACCATTGCACGTTTGCAGGGCATGCATTACGGCCAATCTGAACGTAATACGCGTGGCATTGCACCTCGGTCACCCAGTAAATAGGGAGCGTTGGGCCAATGTTGGGCCACCATTGCACGTTTGCAGGGCATGCATTACGGCCAATCTGAACGTAATACGCGTGGCATTGCACCTCGGTCACCCAGTAAATAGGGAGCGTTGGGCCAATGTTGGGCCACCATTGCACGTTTGCAGGGCATGCATTACGGCCAATCTGAACGTAATACGCGTGGCATTGCACCTCGGTCACCCAGTAAATAGGGAGCGTTGGGCCAATGTTGGGCCACCATTGCACGTTTGCAGGGCATGCATTACGGGCAATCTGAACGTAATACGCGTGGCATTGCACCTCGGTCACCCAGTAAATAGGGAGCGTTGGGCCAATGTTGGGCCACCATTGCACGTTTGCAGGGCATGCATTACGGCCAATCTGAACGTAATACGCGTGGCATTGCACCTCGGTCACCCAGTAAATAGGGAGCGTTGGGCCAATGTTGGGCCACCATTGCACGTTTGCAGGGCATGCATTACGGCCAATCTGAACGTAATACGCGTGGCAAACAGCATGGTCTGTTGATGTGCACGTTTCTTAGCAACTCCCAGAAAAACATTTTCCAATATGAATGTGATGTGATTACTTTCCAATTTCTGTGAGCGGTTTCCAAAATGTAATGCTGTGGACAACCTTAAGAAAATACTCTGGGCATCCAAGCAAAGAGAGATGGCCAAAGTGCCCGCTAAAACGTTTTTCACTGAATGCATAACACAAACACGATCATGTGCAATGCAATTGACTGCTATTGCCTTGCTAAGAACTGTCAGAGAATTTGTAATGTTGTTGTATTGGCGAATGCAAATTGCATTTTTGTTCCAGTTCAAGTAAAACAAACTACAAGGACTCCGGAGCTGTCCTGTCTGATTTAAATTACTTTTTGGATATATATAATGTTTTAAACCAAATGTAATAACAGCAGTGTGTTAATGAATAAAACATATTCCAATGCTGTAATGTCATTGGAAATATTGAGGCATTTAGAGTAATAGTTGGCATATCATCCTAATTCATAGCTATTATAATACAGTTAAAAGTAATAAATGGGACATTTGATACATATTTTACGCAGCATCTCAATAAGTAGTTTATGATCATGATGGCGATGGTTACGACAAACACAGTTGCTAAGCACAGCAGGCCCGAGGGCCCAAAACGGCAATCGGCCAGCAACAAACAGCACCATCAACGGTGAGATGCACGAGTCTGTCCCACGTTTCTTGAATTAAGCAAAGCCATGAGAGCTTGGAAAATGAGACAACGGGAGGGAATTCTCAAAGTCTAACGAAGCGAGGGAAGGAGCAGAAAGAGAAATGTTGCATTGACAATTATGATGATGGTGACAATGATTTGAGTGATTGTGATGATGACAGAATTACGGTGAGAGTGATGATGACGACGGTGATGGAAATAACAGCGATGACGATGATTTTGGCCAAACGAAACGGGACTCACTGACACACATGACCAGGTCGTGGAACTTCTCCTTGGGGAAGAGGGAATTCTCGAGGCCACGGAAGTAAAGCTTCAGAACTCCAGCCACCGAGTTGATGTCATGGCTGTCTTCGTCCTCCACCAGAGGGTCTTCGCCTACCGACAACCAAACCCTCCTTTAACACACTCGGGACAAAAACGACGACTCCCCATGTATCCGCAAACTTCCTCACCTATCCGTTGTATAGCCTTAACAGACTGTTGGGGCTAGTGCTATTAGCGAGCACCTGTGAAGGCCGGCACGGCACACGGGGGGTGGGTGGCCAGCCGCCTTTGTATTCCTAGTGACGATAGTTACACATCGCACCAGGTACTTATTTGAGGCCGAGTCGACCAAGGGGAGGGCTTAAGACTGGTTCTGATAATTGTCACCGTTATTGGTCATGAGCAGGAATCGAACTTGGATTGCCAGGTTTGAAACGCAGTGTTCTAACCACTATGCCACCGTTCCTCACATACCACACACACACACGTTACCATCTCATGGAAGTTGTTGTCACTGCTTAATACATTTGACCCATTCAGCTCGGGAATTCAAATCCCAGTCCAGGGTTGATTTAGCCCACGTTCCCTCCGGAGGTTGATTAAATCCGTACTCATTTTGCAGAGAGTATACAGTAGTCGTCACCATGGAGACACTACTTCTGTCATGGTAACCGTAAAATTACCACCGCTGGCTCTGGGATGCCATCGCAGGTGAATGCTGCTTCATGTTCATTTGATCAAAGTAAAGACGTAAATTTGGCCAGAACCTTACAGTGGCCTGACCCAATAATAATCAATGACCAATCATTTTGAATTAACTTTATTAGGCAGGGTGGAAACAAGTCTGATCAGGAATGCAAGCAAGAACGTTTCACAACCAAGACAATGATAATAATAATAATGTGTTTTACAATTAAGGATTATGATATGACAACCAGGTAAATAAAACAATACTCTGAATAAAACCTAAGATCCTTGACTTGAGAAGGGTTTTGATGTTGGACGTTTGGCCAATTCCTTTTCCGTGTTTATTATAACAACTCAAGAAGCAGTCTGAGTTTCCTGAGAAACAAAAAAAACCTCATGCAGGGAGAGAGAAAGAATGTCAGAACCCTACTTGATGTACTGCCTCTGTGGGATCCCCTTTGCTTCTGAAACCAAGGGGGCAGCTTGGGAAAGGAGCCAAACATTGGTCCACAGCAGAAATTGGTACCGTCTGATGCGGAAAAAACTGGAACACGATCCATTTTTTTCCATGGCCAATACCAATACAGGAATAAAATAATAATTTCTAATGGTTATTTCATCGGAATATCAAGGGTGGATATAGAGTGTTATAAAACAAAACACTGCTACGTTATTTTCCCTTAGCTAAAAAAGTGAAAAAAACTGATCTGAGAACCTCTGCAAACCAGAACATACAAAGTGGATTTTTTTTTATGAAAGCACACAGAGGTAGCTAACTTACCCCTTTCAAACGCATTCTTGATGTCATTGACCTCCACCTGTGAGCCTGAGACACGGAAAATCCCCTGGTGCTGAAGGCCTGTGATGGAAAACACAAGGAGATATGGGAGACGTGATGAGTTTCAAACCATTCCAAAAATCACTCCACTCGTGGAGCCTGCGCCGGTGTTCCACGAATGCGAGCAAGACGCAAACACACAACAAAGGGGAATTTGAAAAGTCCATGGCTTGATTTAGAAAGCGGCGATTTAGCTAAATGACGTCCTATTTTTACGGATAGTTCCGTTGATGTGCAATGTGGTTCTTTAACTGTGGAAACATCCGTAAGCCCATGGGTGTCAGAAGCCCATGGGTATTTTGGGAGTATGATTTCTCTCCAGATTGCTCTGGATTTTTCAGATTTCCACATATCAACACAAACATCATGAATTAAAACACCTGCAGTACTTAAGAAATGCTTTTCATCGTTACTAATGTTAGGCACGATCTATCCACTGACAGATAAAGGTTGCCCCACATCATTACCAGCTCCCACCCCCCTTGTACATGAGCTTATCTCATCGCTTCATCTCTATGGTCATCCTCTCAGCCTCTCAGGTAAGATTCCCTCCACTGGCTGCAATTCTGTCACTAAACTCGATCACCAGCCTTCAACTCGTGCAGTGAGAAGAACATGCGTTTTAGAGTATTTGGTTGCTATACATTTCCACGTGATAAGACACTTGGTTAAGATATGAATTGTGGCCGCTTCTGAAAAAGAGCGATATTGCTCAGTTGAATTTACCTGGTAAAAAAAAGGTTTTAGTTAATTAGTTTTAACTGTGGTAAGAGTGTGTTACCTTACCTGGATCCCCTTCTAATATGCATTTTGGTAATATTTTCACGTTTACAGTTTTATTTTAGTTTATTGTATATTTTAAAGTTGATGGCGTGCTATAGTAACTCCTTCCACGATTTACTTGAAATTGCTAAAAACACATTTCCGGCTCCTTACCCATTTTTCAATTGGCAAGTGTCGAGACTTCAAGGCAAGTTAAATGCCTACGCGGCTACAGATGGGAACCATTATTTGATGATGCGACCATGCATACGGCCAGGTGTGGTGTTACTTAAACCAGGCGAGATCCCACCGGAGCAAAACGCGTCCCTTTTGGAAGGAAGCCCCGGAGGGGGGGAACATACCGATAAACACAGCAGCGAAAGCCTTAATAGCCATTAGATTTAGCCCAATAAAAACATTTAAATACATTTTGAGCAATCAGTATGACATATATGGGGGAAATTGACAAGCCAAAGTATTTTGCTGTCTTTTCTTGGATTTTCTGTTTGCACATAGTTACTTTAAGATGTTTTCTTGTTCATGTTTTTTTTGTTTGTTGCGGTTGCACCCGATTCAAGAGCCGAATGGCTCACAGGGTTATACCTAATAAATGAAACTTGAAACTTGAATTTGCATAGGCAGCAATAACTCAGACCATCTAACCTTCCAAGTTTTATAAATAAGTACCGCTTTGAGAGACTAAATCCCATGACGGTAATGTGGTGGAGTACCGTCACCAGGGATGAGTGCGACTAACATTTGGTGGAGGAATTAATTTGTGTTCAGCGTTGACGCTGCATTCACACGGTCTCACCGTAGAGGTTGATGAACCGAACGCAGCTCTCCACCACCAAGGGGATGACCTGTCCAGTGTCCTGCAGCGTCAACAAGGCAATCGGTAAAATCGTAGCAGCGGGTGTGCACAACGGCATCGAATCTCGTGAAACTGCAATTAGGCAGCAGTTTGAGCGACAGCACGAGTTTCATCTTTACGAACCTCCCCGTGTCCACCGCGATGCTGGCAAAACAGATCGTATAAATGTTTGAGTCCCATGTCTTTTTTACCATCATCTGGGCTGTTATTGTTTCTAACCCACCCCTTACTGGACATCTGTGAAAAAGAACGTTAGAACTTTTCAGTAAAAGAAAATGATTACGTCTATAAATAATAATAATGTTGCCAACCTTTTGGCATAGGAGTTCCCACTGATTTCTAAATATAACTCTTTAATAATGGATAATACCATTATGAATACCATATGCATTAGACTCACGCATACATACCCATGTATCGCATGAGTATGTCTCCCTTACTGATGTGCGGCATATGTCACGGGCAGATTAGGTAGATAATTACAATTCCTGGATTTGGCAATTATAAAATAAGATGAACCAGACAGGTTCACATGAAATATATTTAGAGGCGCTTTTAAAGGACACAAATGGCAGAATTTGCCCTTTGAGAATAACAAAAAAAAAATATCTGCACTTGTATGCTGGGAAGCTAGCGGGAAATTAAATAAAGTCATACGAACCAAATGTTACGGTTATTCTGTTCCTTCATCTTTATGCAATATTCATCAACAGTCATATTACATTCATGGGGTGACCCGAATATGAAGTCCTCTCATGTGTTGAGTTCACATGTATTATTAATGCCATTCTCTCAAAGATGTTTGATTGCCCCACATGTGTGCACATATATTGCTGTTGTTGTTGTCACTATCTATAAATAAACGGCACTGTTGCCATTCTGTGCTTGCGTTGCAATGCTCTTCACACTCATCCACACAAACATAGTTCACCAAAACACATGGCTAAGTGGCATTTATATCTCGGGGCTCAGGGTCTGGGATAAAATCTCGATTCCAGCTGCCTGGTGGTTAAATTGGGTTTCTATGTTGATGGTCTCGACAATAAACACACAAACATATTCACGTTAAAATGTAATTATATCACCATTTGGCTATGGCTATATTACCACTCAAAAACAATGTTCGCTTAAATAGCATGCAATAAACAATTCACAAAATAACTCAACACATTCGTCAATAACACTTTGTGGCCTTTAAAGAAAAAAACCCAACGTGAAATAGGTGACACATTTGTGGCAATGACCCTTATTCGTAGTACAAGGAACACGATAAAAACAAACTTTTATATATATTCCTTTTAAGGCCACGATCTTATTGACGAATATGAATTGAGTTTCACATACAAGGTGGGAAGAACCATTCTTTTGAATGTTTTCTGTCAACGGCCTTCAAGATTCATTACAATGGAGAATGATACATGTGCCCATTCTCGTAAGGTGTGGAGCTTTTAACCAATTATTTTGACCTGCAAAATTTTCTGTGTACGCACATGCTGCACGTTAGTGCGCCACGGTGTGCTATTCTAACGCCGCATCATGCTAATGAAATTATAAGTCTCGATGCTTAGCACCAGAATGCTTCAGATTAGTACTATAATGCTCATGGTCTGAAGGTTGTAACTTGAATCGGTATTTCTATCTAATCCTAACCAAAACAGCACAACTGTACATGAAGCATTCATTGGTTGACATTAAAAGTCAATACCCGAGCAAAAATAAGTTTCAATTGTAATGCCTAACATTAAATATTAAGTTTAATGATTAAATTTTTTTTTTACCAAAAAAAAGAAAAATCTATTTTGATTTACTTTATTAACTTTTCATCAAAAATTCTAAACAGTGGGTAAAATCACCGGATGTATTACATTTGAATAAATCATGTAACTTAAAAACTAAATAATTTAGTGTTACAATTGCCTGAAAACAACCCGCATAACTATATTTTCTTAAAAGTACACTACGTAACACTGTGCTATATGGAATAATGCCCCTGCCAAAATAACTAGAAGACATCTGTCAAAATATGCCAAGTCTTCCACACGGAGCACAATTAAACCCACCTTCGACTTCCATAAGCCTTCAACGAGCATGTCCATGAATGTATACAGCCACTGTGAACTCAAGTAATTCCACAAAGGATTTCTGCTACGGGACTATTGGAATCAACCAGAACCAGAATGGATTTCCTCACCCCACCGACGCCGCCAGTTACCACCGCAAACCAAGTGGCGAGGAAAAAAGCGCGAGTACCTGGCTTCTAAAGCGCGAGTTTCTCCGTCCTCTGCATCACCAAGAGATTGGAAGTGGAGGGGGTGGGGCAGGGGGGGAAGGGAGAAGGTCAAGAAACGAGAGCAGGAGAAACCATCACCGCCAGGAACAAGATCCCAAGTCCTGAGACACCGTAGCCCCAAAACCCACCGCTAAGAGCATCTCAAGTTTTCAAATTGTACTTTCTCTGCAGGATTTCAAGAATATAATGACCCGTAAATGAAGGCAAAACAAACAAATGTAGTTTGCCTATAAATGCATTGAAATATAAAAGTATAAATATCTCTCATCTTCAACTGAACATGAGGATAGGGTGGTGTTAATTTATATTTTGTGGCCATGAGTAATTGGTGGAAATTCCACATTAGTACGGTGTGGGCCTTCTATAAATAGGAACATCGATGTTGACTTCCCGTAGAGTGGTACTACACATCGGAAAGTTATGCTATGGGATACTCTGAGGCTAAACGTGACACTATTGCCACGTGGGCCATGACTGTTTACAAAGGTCAATGGAGAAGATAGACATTTAAAAACTTGAGATTTTCCCCTTAGCGCCATCAGAGGTGGCGAGGCGAGAGGGTTGATGGGAGATTGTTGATTCTCCACGCCGCAGTACCTGTATGAAGGTCTCCAAATTGCCGTTAAACAATTTATCGGTGAACTGAGAGCGAGGCCTGTGCCTCTTTGCACTCGGTGGTTTGGTGGGGAAGAAAAGGGCCCTGGAAACAACATGCGCCGTCATCACAGGACGTTACACAGCGATGCGATCGTGACAACACAAGTACGGGCTCGTCAGCCCCGCGTTTAATAGGCAAGACGTTCCCGGCTGCAGGAGTCATTATCATCACAGTCTGATACTCGCTATGATCATGAACGGTTTATAAAGTAGACAACTATTTTGATGGCTTTGCTCGAGTCAAAAGATCCTGTGGTGTTAAACAAAAGCATTCTTTAACTCCGAAATATTATTTTTCACTATCCAAATAAAACATGTTGGGCTTAAATTGGAACACTGTTGTCATATCTGAGGTGGAGTACTCAGTTCCTGCCTCACTGCACTTAACAAGAATTTAATGTAAAGTAGTCAGGTTTATTGATGATCCAGTCACTAATTCACTCCAGTCACTCACCATTGGGCAGTTGCCTCATTATCACTCTTCTATCGCAACTACCATGGATATGTATTCGTTAACTTCCCTTTTGGATTCCTTCCTCATACTGCTTGACTATGAAATTCCTTCCCATCGTAAAACAATCCCAGGTTCTTATAATCAGCTTGCACAATTCAAGAATTACATTACCTCTTAACTATTATACCTTCAATGGTGATGTTATTTTCTGACCCCTTGGCATTTCGGGCCATTTGGTCCATGCTCAGCAACTATGATTTTTAAAAAAGGCTACGGTGTGTGTGTGTGCGTGTTCCACTTTGTGAATTTGTTGTCGTGTGAATTAATATTCCCAACCCCCCTATGCGTATCCATTTACACCACAAGCAGGCGTCTCGGTCCTGCAGGACTTTGAACGTGTTATTTCAGATCCCATGACAAATGAACAATAATGAGCTTCAACACGTAGGGTCTCATAGCCAATATCACAATTCATAATTGATTTTTGTGTTCTGCCACGTAATTATCCCCGACCAAATCTGTCACCAGAAACCCTCCACCACCCGACACAGACAAGCAAATTAAACTGGCATGAGGTGCACGGGGCGTTTTTCCGACACGCCAATTATATATTTTTTAGGGCGCCACAGTGGCGAGATGTTAGCTACCTCGCTTGGTATGCAGGAGGTCGTGGGTTCAATCCCGACCCTGACGCTTGTATACTTGGAGTTTGCATGTTCTCCCTGTGGTTGCGTAGATTTTTCTCCAGGATCCTCCAGTTTTTCCCTCCACATTTATAAAAATGCGTTTAGAGTATTTGGCTGCTATACATTTCCATGTGATAAGCCACTTCCTTGAGCAATCATTTGTGGCCAGGTCGCTTATGAAAAAGAGCTGTATAGCTCAGTAGGCGTTACCTGGTAAAAAAAATAATTGTTTAGTTTCAACTCGCTCACAAGTGAGTTCAAGAATAATTCTCACAAGTAGATTTAGCAACCGTGTTGTGACAGCATGAGAAATAATTTGTTTGGCTGTTGTGTGGTGGAGTGTTTCTAATGACACAAAATGGGTCAAATCATTACGTGGCCTCACCCAAAAATCACTTAAGAACAATAATGATCTTACTTTGTTTACACAGCTGTTAAGTCTCACGGAGTTTTTTTTTCAGGACTGTTTCAGGAGGGTTTGCTTTGGGGATGTTTGACACATCACTTGTGAGGAAACTGGAGTGTTTGAAAAAAACAGGTAAAAGGGGATATCGATCTAAACCATCGCACTCCACACACTTGCTGCACTGCCTCCTATAGGCACCTCAGCACTCTGAGATGTCTATAGGAGCACGGGTAAATGTGGAAAGCAGGATGAATTTGCTCCTCTTAGCTGTGTGAAAGTGTGGATAATAGGTAGAATGATGGACTTCCAGGGTTAATTCAGACTGTGTCATACTCATTGATAGTAAGGTCCATTTGATCAATTCAGGGTCTGGATAATAGGAACAGTGGGTAACAGTAAGTCAGACAAGAGGGGTGTCACTGTGCACATTTCGTGTACTCGAAATGTAAATTAACAATGTTACATGTCAATGAACGCATATGTTCTCGAATGGATTTTCTACAAAGAGCCTAAAAGTCCTTTACGTACAACGAGGCTGAAAATTAAACATCGTTGTCAGCGAATGTACCAATTGAACATTTCCAAGCCGATTTATTATTGTAGGTAGCTGAATTTTTTAAAGTTTTGTTCATGGCTTAGACACTTATTCATTTAATCATTAATTCCTGCTTCATATGAGAACTTAGGACATACTATTTGGGCGATTTATTTTACATTTTAAATTGTTGACTTCATTTGTGGCTTAGTCAATAAAATTGTCTGCGTAACCTTTCATTACATTCCTGCAGAATTACAGGACAACACATTTCTGATGAGAATATCCCACGATCCTTTTTATATATTTAAAAAACAAATGTAAAGCAAAAATCGCTCATGTTAAGTCAGAATGGATCATTTTGAGTTAATGTGTTCATTTATTGTGTTGGATGATAATGGAATATTGAGGTGTTTATGGAATTCTGTGACATGTGCTTGACTATTGATCTTCTAAGTGATACTTTCAGAATCCATTTGGCATTCATGTGAGAACACATTCAAGATATATTATGCTGAACAAGCATTCTCAGCTGGCTGAGAATGCTTGTTCAACGGTGGTAATCCTATGTAGGGAATGGTTCCATCCACAAGAATGTGGAATTTCCACCACTGTCTGTGAGCTTACTGATGTAAAAAATGTACGCTTCACCGCTTGTTTAAGCAAAAATACACTTTCATTATCTAAATAAATCATCATTTTCAGCCAAGACTAATCGACTGCTGGATCAAGGCCTCCACATAAACATTCGTGTAGAGACATTTTTGGAATCTGATGCTAAACCAGAGCTTGTGATTTTTCCATACAAATTCATGAACATCAATGCTTTAATTGAAAAGAGAATGATTAAATGTACAAATGACAACATGTACGATCGCAGAAACATAATAATGTAGTGCGTTATGTTGTATTTGTTCCAAAGCTTTACCTGAAGGAGTTAAAATCACCCTTGGCACCTAAAATGGAGACAAATACAATGCTTAACAAAAACAACCGAGAAAATTCATTCCACAGATACAGCGAATAACATCGTACACTCACACTGAGTGGCTGACTGGCTGGCAAGTGTGTAATATACAATAGAACCGTTTGTTGATACGTATCAAGCCGCAGCCCAGTAACCTTACGCAGCACTACCAAAGTGCCCCATCCTTCCGTTTAATGGAACATCAAATGATTTGACGCTATTCACAAGAAGCAGGCCATGGTCAGAATTTCAATACCTGGTAAGTAAATACAATTTGAACACTTACTGTCCTATTTGCCTTTAATACAGGTGCACAAAAGCTTTATCTAATCCTTTAAGATTCTCGACGAATGTGTTGAGTTATTTGTATTCAGGTTAGTACAGCAAACAAGGGTATGGTATGATCAGTACCATGGCCTTCCACTGTTGTCTCCCTCAGTGGCGATGATTACAAACTACACCAGGTACTCATTCACAGTTGAGTATATCTGGTGGGAAACTCTGGGCAGATACAGATATCAATTAGTACTGACATTGTGCATGGCCAGGTATAGAGCCCAAGTTTTCTGGGATTGTAGTGCACTATGCTAATAAAATCATATGCATATACACAAAAATCATCATCAGCCATGGTCATATCCACTTGCTGGATGAAGGCCTCAACCAATCCACCGACATCTCCCATGATCCTACGGTGCAAAAACCCACAGAGCTCCTGCACATAAGCTGCTGGTATCACTCCATCTCCCCGGTATGCTTCTCATTAGACACATTCATAAATATAGATACAAATATAAATGACATATAGCACGTACAACATTTTGCTGAAAGAAAAATGTAATCACCTAGGAAGAATTGAAACATCCACTGAGAATCAAAACAAAACTGTATAATTTGCTCCAACCTCCATGTAAATCCCAAGAGATTACCACAGGGCTCTTATGAAATATATTTCATCAGGGAGATTCCAGGTCTACAATTTCAATTAAAAACTCCCCATAACAGCTCGTGGAGAATTGCAAATTCATCTCTCGGGATTTCGATGACATCTCAATCTCCTATCGGGACATTGCAGGACTCCTTCAGGATTCCAATGAAATGTTTTAATCTCCTGTCAGCTCCTTGGGGATTTGTGAAATACCATTTCCGAAATCGGGCCCGCCCTCTCGCTTTGCAAAAGAAATGCAATAATAATGCCGGGCACGAGCCTGCAATCGCGTTGCATTTTGCGTCTCAATTATGCAACCAAATCTCATTAGCCGCTCGTGCAGGCCGAGTAATTGTGTTATCCGGACACTGGAAATCTTACAAGCGCAATGGCGGGTCCCAGAAGGTTACAGCTGGAATGTCTGCAGAGAATACGTCGTTTCGATGCTGCACAAGCGACCTTGCCGAAGAAAGAGATAGATTGGTTACGTTTGGTGCTGCTGGAGAATGGGCGGTGTGTGCAAATGCACTGCAGGTATAACAATTCCAAACAGCCACATTACAAGCCAGAGAGAAGGTAAATGCAATACGTGTTGAGAAATTAATTGTGGGTGACATCTCGGTCGAGAGTTGGTGGGGGGGGGGGGGGTGTTTACGTGATGGTTGTGGCAGCACTGTGCCTTGTCGACACACGGTACAATGCTCAGAGTCCATGCGGAAATGAAGAGTGGAAGGGAATAATTTAAAATATTAAACTAAATGTTTTATTTCACCAGGTAAAGAGCTACATAGATCTTTTTCAGAAGCGAAGGCTTTGACAATGGAAAACAAATCGCAAATATCAAGTGATACTTCTCATTGCCCCCCCCCCCCCCCATGTCCTAACTGGCTTAATATCACAGATCAAGGCCTCAGAGAGAGAGATTTTGATCTCATGAATAACCCCTCATCTCATCGCTGGTGTCACCCACAAAATGAAATTCTTCTGGTGCCTTACATCGTTTCACATTCAAAAGACATGGCAATGGTGCCACCCCCAACGGAAATACCAAAACAGACCAGTCCTCTGTCATTTCACTACTTGAAAGCCTTCTAGACGTACGGCATACTGAACATATTAGGACAGATTTGAAAGAATACAATGTAAACAAACTCAACAAACAAATGACAATTTTGCTTTAGAACATTGTGAAGTTGTTTAGCTTTGACAAGGTCCCTCGAGTTGAAATGGCTCACGATATGGCCCTTTAACATTCCACTAAGAATTTTTAAGCATGGGTGCTCAACAAACAAAGTGTAAACATGGGGTCAGTCCGCGTTGCAAACAGCTGTTTTTAATATACAGCACATGCGCGGCTTTTGGCCCGAAGAGGCATATGTCACAAATGCCTCTTTCCCCAGAAGAGGCATCCGCTGCTAATAACAGTGCTCCGTGTTCAGGGCGTTTGCCCAATCACCGAGGAGGGACACTGCAGGACTACAGCCCAAAACATCGCAGGAACCCCAACGATTTAATCACAAGCAGATGATGATAGGAAAGTGGCCCCCGCATCGTTCACGTGAAATATGTCGATGCCGCTGTGTGACGCCGGCCATTACTGCCGCTTCGTAATTTATTGCCGGGCATTTTTCGCTGGGAATCGTCGTGGAACGCAGGTTTGCATGACTCGAGTGTGCCCCGGGAAGTGTTCCCGACGCCAATGGGCATTCCACCGTTAAGTGATTCCTCATGAAGTCCACAGTGACATCCCATGCATTGCAACGGCAATTGCCTTACTCAGCCAAACCCGGGTGAGCGAGGCTACGGATGGAAAAGCCAACATAAAAAAAAGACACTGCATTAGTTTCCAAAGCCCCATTGAGAGAGAGACTGTTCAAGAATGATGAAGCCAATTTTTTTTTATTGTGCATTCAAACTAAATCAAAGCATGGCGGTAATGCAGTTGCAGTCTGCTTCTGTTGATTAATAATAATAAAAACCTCAAGACTTCACTGCTTCTAGCTACAGGAGCAAAAGGCCACAATTCCCATTGCCACTCAACGTGCTGCGATTCCATCGGCCAACGTGGAGCAGCTCACTTCGATGCACCGTGCACCGACGCGACGTCACCGAGGTATACGAGGTCTTCACCTTGTCAGTGGAAGGTGAAAGGACTCAAAGCATCACTGTGACACATTACAGGGACTCCTCTACTTACGAACGAGTTAGGGTCCAGAGGTCTGTTCGTAAGTCGATTTGTTCGTAAGTCCAACTTTACTCCTGCCGATTCCAAACATGTTGTACGGCATGTACACTAAACACGGGGAATGGCTTCAAAAGTTGTATAATCTCCCATAGATGTAGATGCCACTGGTTCTTTATGTTCTGCAGACATAGATGCCACCACCGCCATCTATTGCTTGGTGCTTAAACGTACGAACAGGCAACGTTATTTGTTTGGTACGATGTGCGACGTTTCGCTCCACGTGCTGGCAGCTTCTTCAGAAACAGAATTCAGTTCGTGAAGAAGCTCTCAGCACATACAGTCTGGCATAACGCCGAACAATGCTCAGAACACCCCAAAGACACATCGGAGGAGCTAAGATTACCCAGCAAGATTATAGTGAGTCCGACAATCACATGGATTTGACTCTCAAATCTTTCATCTCGTGAACGAAGCTGCTAACTCTTTGCCGAGAGCCCCACGATATGCCACATCGGAGTGTTTGTAGAAAACATCACCCGATTGTTGTTTTGTGCTGCGTGTTGATTTAAACAAAATGACAGATTAAAACACACGGTAAACATCTATTCACCATAAATAATGCAAGCTTCGACAAATAAAAGTTATGAGGCCCTGTGAATTCCAGTGCTGCTTGTGAACACACACAAACGCACACAAACACAGAGTCGGCTGTCGTGATAGAAGAGATGTACATACTTTCTCCAAGGGCTTTATTGATGAGATCATGCTTGGCCTGCAGCTTGGTTATAAGGTTGCTTCCATTCATGAACTCCTTGAATTTCTGTTACGTAACAAGAATGAAATGCAGAACACGATTAAACTCATTATTACATATCCATTACTTCGCTAAAAAAATCCCTAAGTGCGATTTCCCTTTATTCTTTTCCCCCTCTTTATAAACTAGTGTTGATGAGTACGGTGGTGAGGTGCTCCATTTGTACACTACGACGAGACCTTTGTTGTCAACACTATTTTTTTAAAATAACAACGATCGTGGCGATGATGGAAAGACGCATTTGGAGGCTCGGCGAGAACTTTCTCTGGTGAAACTGAAAAAGTTCGTCGATGCTCAAAGGAACACTGAGTAAGGTGTTCATCTTCATGGGTGGTCCTGATCGAGCTAGTGGAGTCTTACGTATGCTGCGATGACAGCGACGATGATGATGATGATGGTGATAATAATTACGATGAAAAAGTTGGTGACGATAATGATGATGGTGGTGAGAAAATATTTCTTGAGATAAAGACTCTCTTTGGTAAACAAAGGACAGTTGTTATTAGGATTATTATTATGTACGTGATAGATCATCGCGAATAGTATATTTTGTATTTGCACCGATCTTTAGTGCAACGCTATCATGAAGCCGCGATGTTTGACACAGGTGTATAGTCCGTCAGTAGGGGGCGTAGTTGCAATGTCGTTTTAGCCAAATTCAGTTATTGTCATTTTATCAGCACACACACACGTGGCCTCTCTTTGAATAACGCCACGGGCCATTTAACTTCCACTGAGAAGCAAGCGGCGCGTCCAATCGTTCTGTTTTAAGACACCAGCCATATCAACCAAGGCGGCCGCCAGATTCGAACCGTGCAACCTCTGCAAACATGCTGCCGCTCGGCCACGCAACCGCCCTCGCAACCCACCATGAAGTAGAAGGACTCGGTCTCCTGCTGGTTGGCGCGCCGCTTGGCCACGTTGGGGCGGCTCATGTACGTCTCCGAGGTGGCGGACTTGACAGACTCGGTGGAGCGGCTGTGCTGGAAGGAGTCGGACATGTCAAAGTCCTCGATGGTCACCATGTCCTGCAGGGTCTGCAGGGTCGCCTCCATCGTCTTCTTCACCTGTTTTGTTTTTTGGGCGTAAACAATTGCGACAATGAGGTTGTAATAATGATCACAATACTGTGTATTGGGTGAATGTGGCCGGGTGGTGCCAGACTCACAATTGGAGAGTCACAAGTTTATATATCCAAGGTCGAGGTTCATTTCTACCATAGTGGTTTTACTAACAGACTCGTCTCTGTCAAACGAATGTGGAACATCCACCCCTGGCTCAGGGCCATAAATAGAGGTGAGAACCACTCCGTGCTCATGTTAGCAGAGGCACTGACTTAATTTTGGCCACCGCTGCCAGCAGTTCTACTCAAAGAAGTCAATAACAAAGTGTCTCCCTGCCCTAACAAACAATGGGCAGTGTTCACCGGTTTAATTACAGACAGCTGTTTAGATTCGAATCCAGCGTCCCAGCGGTGCTGGCACAGCACTCTGACCTCTGAGCCACCTAACCACCTCAAATGGCGTTCATTTTAGTGGTCTGGGTTGATTCCCATCTAGATGCCACACAGCTGATTACTGCTACTATGACCATGTATTAAATATGCTATCAGCTCTTCTCTATACCTTCTGCCCGTTATCACTGCCCTTTAACACTGCCCTCTCCTGCATAAAAATAAAACAATATAAAAGTACAATGTTCGGAATAGCAACACAGGGGCGTTGAGTGTCACGCTCCACGAAGCCCTCACCTCCTCGTTCTCGATGCGCAGAGTGGCCAAGCGCGACTGCAGCTGCTGGTAGCGCGACACCAATTCAAGCTGCACCGGTTGCTGGGCATTCACCTGGGTCACCTGCACACCCCGTCAGAGCAAAAATAAGGATCTTGAAATCGCACGGAAATTCGAATTATACAATCGTTTCAGGATCACCAACGTGATTGCATATGTAGCCTACAACCTCCCAAAATTCTTTACCTCCACACTGTAAAAGGACGCCATTGCAAGACTCCTTATCCGCCACCTGTGAACATGATCACATCACCGCAGACCTAAGAACTCTCCACCAGTTCCAGATCTAATCTCACATCAACTACCAGATCACTTCCACAGTCTTCAAGATCCTCGAAGGAGTTTCCAAAGCCTACCCCCTCCCCGCTCATCTTGCCCTATCTCCTTTAATGTGCTCTAGGCTCCAGCAACTAAAACCTTCCGTTAAAAGCCCTCATTCAACTGCTGATCATTGTCAGGTTGCTCCTTCGCAGCTGTTGGCCCCTGTAGAGTATTTGGCTGCTATACATTTCCGCGTGCAAAGCCACTCCGTTGAGTGATCATTTGCGGCCAGGTCGCTTTTGAAAAATAGCTACGTGGCTCAGTGGGCCTTAACTGGTAAAATAAAAAAATAGTTGATAGTTTTTAGAAGTCCCTCTCCCCAACCATCCATGCTGCTGATTCCCTCCCACAGTTCAGGTCTAGACTCAGGACCTTCATCTTCTCTTCTGCCTATCACTGTCTGCTATCCGTGACCCGTTATAAATATCACATCAGACACATCTCCCTGCTTTTAGTTTGCCCCACGGTGCATAACATCCCACTTTCTGTACAACGTCTTCAGATGCAACTGCTTTAAGACGGCAGATATATCCAAATTTATATTTTAGAATTGTTGAATGGCTCACTGCGTTTCACTCGCTGCGTCTCACTCGTACAAAACATTTCCTTGATCTTACATCTGTTTTTTTTTCTCTATGCATAAAAGATAATACAAAATATTTGAGAACAACATACTAAACGGTGCCCATTGACCTAAGGTCGGGCTTTTCTGAAGCCCTGGCTGTTAATGTTAAACATTATACAAGCAGTGATGTACAGTTTGTTAAACCCTTATGCATTTCGAACAAATTCAGTGGCGATGCTGCTGCGTTGGCAGCGGTGCACAAGCACAATTAACAACAACAACATGAAATTGAAAACACATTCGTCAATAACATTGCGGCCTTAAAGGAGGAAATATAGAAAAACAGTCAAAGTTTTGGGCAGTGGCCTTCTTCGTTGCCCAATGGCTCATCTTGACGGCACGTGTGCTGTGTGCATGCACAAATGTATGTATGTTCAACTTCGTTTGCCCGTACGTAGCCAACCGTGCTAATCGGAGGTGCTCTGAAAGAAGGGCTATTGCTTGAAACGAAAAAAACCTTCGATAAATACATATTTTAAGGCCGAAGTGTTATTGACGAATGAGTCAAGTCCTCATTCATTTCAGATGTTTTAAATTCACCTTTGTAATGACATTAATTTTTGTTAATTGGCATGCTAATAATAACTGTGCCTTGAGATAAGTATCTATTCACACGATGTTGCATGAAGCTCCAAGCTGCGCCATAACGAATATATCACAGGCTCCATAGTTCCAATAAAGCAATAACATTAACCAAAGGAAATTTCGAAGAGTTAACAGGAAATAAATACGTATGCAAAAAAACAAACACAATGAGTGACTTGTGTGTGGAGTGGTGAATGGGATGTCTAGCAAGAAATTAATTGGCTTCATGAGGCAATTTCCAGGTCATAAATGTTAATGACCTCAGCTTTAATGAGCCATGTCTCAAAATTAATTACATAAAAAACACTGGCGAAATTATATCAAAACAAATTTACACCATAGGTAATACTGGTCCATCTTGATTTGAAGCTTTCCTGACTGCAGGAATCCATACTCTTTGGCTCTTTCGGTAAAGTCACGTAGGTAGAAAAAATAATAATAGATCACGACGTTTCGATCGCAACACAAGCGACCGTCTTTAGGTGAGACAGAAAGAAAGCTGCTGAAACAAGGTCTTATGTAGCCACTTCCACAGCCTCAGGCAGACCATCTCTAGCCCCGCCCTTTTACCCTGAGGCTGCACCAGAGGTCGCAACCGGGTACCCGATACCCGTACCCTACCCGATACCTGGCTACCTGTACCCGGCCAGGTACGGGTACGGGTAGCCGTTTGCGACCCTGGTACGGCCGGGTACGGGTAGGCCGTGAGTCACTGGTGAGTCACCGTTTGTCACTCATTTCGGGTAGGGTACGGGTAGGGAACGGATACCCGTACCCGGCCGGTTACGGGTACCCATTTGCGACCCTGGTGCGGCCGGGTACGGGTACGGGTAAGGAATCAAGACCCGTTTGCGACCTCTGGGCTGCACCCATCTCAGGCCTACATAAGACCTTGTTTCAGTAGCTTCCTTTCTCTCTCACCTGAAGATGGTCGCTGGTGTTGCGATCGAAACCTCGTGATCTATTATTTTTTCTACCTACGTGACTTTACCGAAAGAACCAAAGAGTATGAATACTGGTCAAATTTAGTACCAAAAACGTAGATCTTTTTCTATAAATGCGTATCCATGGAATTAAAAGACAGTGAAAAATAACATAAAAGGTAAGGTCACTTAAGTTATGCACTCATAAAACAATCAATGTTGGTTGCTCAATAAGAAGATAATACATTTTGTGAAAGCAGTTCCCTGTGAGAACACACAGCAACATGAAGTGTCACTGAAAAATGCTGACAAGACTTTGAAAAAAGCTATAGACAGCCTGCAGCAAGGGAGACACAAACACATCTCACTCTCACAAGGGCTCATTGGCAGGCCAAGCACAGCCACAGATAATAGGATGGCCATGATGCTAAAAAGGTGATGCGATCACAGGCTTGCCATGGAGTTCGGACTGTAAGTTGTTTGGGAGGTACTGTGGCAGAGTGCTCAGCTGAAACAAAAAGTAATATAAAAAAAAAAATTTAAACACGCTTTAATGAAATGTACTGTACGAGTAATGGCAGAACTCCACGACTCCAGGAAGTGGTCCCGAGGCTTGCCATAACATAAGGGACCATGGTCAATTACAGACAACATCAGTTGAGCGTGGACAATTAGACCCAAGCCGAAACTCATAGAAGAGCATTATGAACACATTTGGATTGTACCATGTAATGTATTTCACGTTATGCGAGCCTCCATGATGTTCGACTTGCACATCTAACTGTGCCTGCATGACTTTACATGCTTTCCCGTTAACGTGAGCGTACGCACACTGTCCTATCCGTAACGATAGCATCATCGCCCATGTTTTTAACACAAAGGTCATACGTAACATAACTGCATTTTTTTATTGACAACTTGACAAATGCTGCCGGAACTATAGTCCATGAAATTGCCAGCTCTCAAAACGCCTTCCACATCTCTCGCTCCGACATGAAATTAAACAACTCCGTATTTATCTCCATCCGCCAGCTGTGCTCACCCGTAAAAGCAGCGGAAAAAAAAACGGCCATCGGCCGATTCCAGCACCTCTAATTAGTTATGCAAATGATGTGGTTAAATGGCTTTATCAAGGAGAGCAGAGAACACGAGGGGGATGCGCACGCGCGCCCCCATGCGTGCGATCGCCGTTTCCCTTGCCGCTTTAGCAAGCGGCTGTATTTGGGGGAGACGAGAGGCATGAGGTAGAAAGCAGAGGGGACAGCACTTCCTACAAACGATAGTGCCGGAGTGCACAAGAGGAGGGTTGCAAGTGTAATGACAGCATGCCATCCGGTGGCCATTGGGGCTAATTACGGGTATGGGTGCGATATAGAATAACGCATGCAAGCGACCACAAGGGGGGCCGTAACTGTGCCAAGGGTCAAAGAGGGGATCTGACTGGAAGCTCCTGGAACCCGCGAAAGAGTTCCAGAAGAGAGGCGTGGCCAAGGGCGTGGCTTGGCCACGCTCGGTGAATATAAGGGAGAGGAAAACGGGGGTTCGGGGCTGTCGTGATGGGGTTCGGGTCCTGGCTGCCGTCGCTGTCATCACTGTCATCTCTGCCATCTCTTCGTCGTCGTCGTTGCTGCATAGCCAGCCAGCTATACAGTCGTCATCGTCGCCGTCACTATATAGTCAGCCAGCTATATGGTTGATTTAAAGTTTTCGCGACTGCATTAACATGCCAATCCTCCTTTGGCGCAGCTGTTGTGCGTATGTACGGCAACGGGACTCCTTTCCATCTCTGACCCTGCCTACTTACCCTTGGGTGACACCCACCTCAAACCTGGAAAAACCTCTTGTTGCAACAGCCCTTTCTTGTTCAGTAGTTCTACTGCTGTATCGTTCTACCCGATGATGATGATTCTTTGTGTTGCGATTGAAATGCCGTGATTAATTATTTATTTTTCTACCTACGTGACTTTACCGAAAGAACCAAAAACTATCGCCGATGTCGCTGTATGGATGGCTAAGTTATAAGTCAGTCAGCGCTTATGTTACTCTGTGACCCTGTCGTTAAAGTATTAAGAAATAAATAAGAAACCCTCTACAAGTCTTGTCTCGGAAGTCGTCTCATTACACAAGTACACGGCGTGACTTGCCCCCATGCAGGTTAGAGAACTTGCATCTGAGTTGGTTTTAAGGACCCCAACAGTGGAAATTCTGATCAAAGTCAGAAAAGTCAAATCATCTCCCGATTGATTGAAATAGCTGTTAGGTGGCTGCGTACGTATGTATGTTAAACTTCTTTCGCACCGTACATTTGGCCAACCTTGCTAATAGGAGGAGCAAGGAAGGGCAAGTGAAATTGTGGAAATTCCACATTGTTATGGTGAGGGTCTGTCTCTCTCCGCAGCATGTCCACTGGTGATTTTGCACAAAGGTCATGACTTTTTTCGATTTAGTTCTCAACCGTTACTGGTTACATTATTGCCTTCAATAGGCACTCACAAACAGCACTTAGTATACCACTGCTTCATGAACGTTGTGGGACATCACAGAAGTGCCATTTGCTTCACGGCGGACCCTAATGTCTACTATCACCCGTACAGGTGCTCCTTTGTGAA